CTTTTTTTAATGAAGAGATACCAATTTCGATACCAAAACAACTATAAAATACTTTTGAAATTCGATTAAACTCATTTTGCAAAGATGTATGAAATTTGTATGACTAGCATTTTTCCATAGACTAAGTGTATGAAATTGTATGATTAGCATTTTCGGTCTATGGAGGTCAACCCGGGTGTATGTTTCATTAAACAATTCACCCCTACCACCGTTCAAACCCTACCCCCCTCTCCCTGCGAAAGGCGGTTGTGGTAAAAGAAACAGATAAATGAAGTGTTAAACTGCGATAATTTACAGAAGAGACAAAAAATATGTAAATTCAATGTAAAATGTAACATTTTATGAAAGGTGATGTGTAGCAACTACACTAAACAGGAAATGAGATAACTTTGAAAAAATTGTAAGTTTCATGAGTAACCTCTCGAAAAAAAATCCATTTTAATTTATTATAATCTAATATAATGGATTATAATGGCACACAAAATATTACGATTATAATCCATTTTTAATGGATTATAATCGATTAGTTTGTTATTCTATAAATACTGACCATATTATGACAAAATAATTGATTATGATCCATGGGCGCTCGGCGCGGGTCAGGACAACAATACCTTTTAAATGATATTTAAAAATTCTGTCAAAGACCGCTAGTCAAAAAGTCGAAATTTGTCTGAAGAAAAAAACCCACCCCGAGCACAAATATTCCGTTGCTTTCGATAGATAGGTCGGAACAAAAAGCCCGTTTTTTGGTAAATTGACTCAAAAAATAGGATGATCATCTCTACAATCTATTCGGTGCAAAGATAATGGTTCGCTTCCATTCCTTCAATTTAACATTTTCAAGACAGACAATTCTTCTTTTAACTTTAGACAATGTATCGGGAGAGTCTTCCCACCGCAAACTAACCGCATCACCATAATTCAATAGCTTAGTATTAGTTTTGATGTCAACGATAGTTATTGTAAACTATTTATGAAAAACACTTTCCAATTTACAGAAAACGTGAGCATTTTAGTAACTAATAATGTTTCCTTGTGAAATGGCCGGTTATTCGAGGGCCAATAAAATCCATTCTCATTTCTTGAGGGTGAAGTAACATTACCCAGTCCAGAAAAATATCCATACAAATTACATGTAAATCTCAAACTGGCAAAACAGTGCTTCTCAACAGGGCCGTGAAAAGAGCCGAACACTTCATATGTTGGTCTCTTTCCTTGTGGATAAACTGTGTCTTATTATCTTCTCTCAGCAATTTCAATTGCGTCAATTGTTTCGGAAACTTTGCCACCGTTCAATTTGCAAAAAAAAAATGAAACGAATGAATTGAAACAAAGGTGTTTTAGGCGCTGCTAACGTTTAATTACTCTTATCTTTACTGCTAATTAATTTCAACACGGTATTTTTTTTTTTCAAAACAAGCTAAATTGAAAATTTTGGTCACTCGTTGAATTTAAATTCCCCACAACCACCCCAAAACATGTTGCTCAACTCGCATCGTTTTTTAATCCCCTTAATTGGCAATTAATCGTGCTGCTAATTTTCGCTTGCTACGAATTGACGCTTGGTGCGAATTGTCGCCTTTTAAAAATGCTGAGAATAGTCGCTGGCAACGAACTGTCGCCCACGCTTTCATTGACGTGTTGAGAGTAAGTTAGTATGGTAGTATCCAGGGGCGGATCTAGGATTTTCTCGAGGGGGGGGGGGGGAGGGAGGATTGTCAAAAATTTCGAAGTTTTTGTCGACCCTTTTTTTAGGTTGACCAAATTGGTTTGCCGAGCTCTCCCAAAGCCTTATAAACCCCTGTTTTGGCCAAATTTCCTGCGCCGCAGGCTAAATTTTGAAAAAAAAATGCCGATATAAGCGTTTTTTTTGCACTTTTGGAAAACTTTGATTAAAAAATCGCGTTTTTTTGGCGCGCGCTCCACACTCCCTTCAAAATTAGTATATATTGGCGCCAAAAGCGCCTTTAGAAAAACTTTAGGTTCCGTCACCAAAATGTATTTCCCAAAAAAGTACAAAAGGGGACCCTTTGGGTCGGCAAGGGGTCGAATCCCTGAGGGAGGGGGCGACCACCCCCCCCCCCCCCCCCTCGCCCCAACTAAATCCGCCGTGGTAGTATTCCTAGTTCGACACTTTTCTTCAAATACTTCTCAAGCCAGACATTTCAAATGTCACATTCTCGCGGGAGAGTCTAAAAATTAATTGTGCACTAATATTTTGCACCAATATCTGTATTACTTTTGTGAGAAGATTTCTTGAAATAAGAGAAAAGCAGAAAATTCCCTTTCAATTTTTATATACGGAATTTGTAGAATAAAGAGACTTAAACAATTGATTCCAAGCACCCTTTAAGCATCTTTAAGCATACTTTAAGCATACATTAAGCCTTCTTTTTATCAGCTCATTCCAACAACAAATCTCAACGCGAAGTCAAATCGAGGTCGTAACTTATTAGCACCGATATTTAGAAGCAGCAGCGGATTTAGAAGCAGCAGGGAGACGCAATTCTTTTTGTCAAAACCCTCAAAAAAGTAACAAATTCAAAACGGTTTGAAAAACCTTCATTTTAGTGATCTGAAAATTTGTGAAAGTCTTCTCCCAGTGTCTCCAGCGAAGAAACCTCTCTGTAGAGTCTGTAAATATGAAGGAATTTTAAGGAAAACCTGAAAATCCGAAAGGAAGAGTGTAAATATTGTCGATAGTCAAAAGATTGTAAAGGCCGAGTTTGTACATCGGTCGGATCAGCCTGCTATAAATAATCATGTTTACCATATTCATGAAAAGTGTTGCGGCAAATTAATGCATCTTCACAATCATGCCAAATTGATAACGAAGTTTATTCGTTTAAGAATGTAACGACAATATTCAACAAAGAGGGCAAAGAACTGAAGAAATAAGTAAACACTGGATTAAAAAGGAAAACTTTGTTTATATGAACGATACAGTTGACCAGGCCAGCCCGGTTAGTTTCCTCAAAAAAAATGTACATCCCGAATTAAAATTGCTCAACTCTTACTTGAAAATCAACCCGATAGATCACGCAACAAAAGATCACTACTTTGAATTCACGGAAGAACCAAAAAAGATAGTGGGACATGTTTTTGTCCCAACAAAATGCAATGATTGGTTCTTCGAGAAAACCTCTTAGTCGCCTTTTTGCTACTTGTGGGAATTAAAGTTTGACTTTTGATTTCACATGAACCACAGGTAAAATGAATCAAGTGAGTCCGGTAAACTAGTTGTTAACACAAAAAAGTTTTTATTCCGGTTTAATAACGCTTGCTAATTGCAAAGATAATTGAACTTTGAGTTTTTAAGTATTAAAAATTTGAAGATGGAGGTTAAGGGGTAATCATTTTAGCATTTTTCCAATGCAGGGTTCATCCAAGCGGAAGTTCCTATTTTGTTTGAGTTATGAAAGCAATGATTCTAAATATTTGGTTCTTCACTTCAAAAAAGACAAAAAAGGATCACTTTTTTCTAAGATTTAACTTGCAGTGTGCTATCGAAAGCAAAACTTTTTTCGTAAAAGTATTTATAATCTTTTTGGGAAGCTTCAATTTAGTGCCCCAGGCATTACCTCGCCCAAAAAAACTTGGGGGCAATAGATGCGAATCAGCTCTTACAGTGGCTTGAAAAAAATGTAAATACATCTAAGACAAAACCATTGCAATCATCACCTCGCGATACACAAAAATAAAAAATCAGCAAAAATGGAACTATCAAAATCAAATTTGTGTTATTTATACATAGATACGAAGCTGCCGCTTTGCTAACACCAGCGAGAAATGGCAAAATTAGCTCTAATAGTTTCGAAAACTCATAAAACAGAAAATTTAAATTTTTTTAAATCCAGTTAGTCAAGTTATTCTAGTTAGTTGAGTGGTTATCAAATCAAGTACCTTTTAGTACCAGCAACCGCTAATGCTAGACTCCTCTCGTTTTGATACACGTAGGGACCTTAATTGAACATGCTTTCAAGTTTAGGCTAAAAGCGTCTAAGCCATAACTGTTGTCAATTAAACGCAAATCTTTGACAATAAATTACCATTAGCGTTAATGAAACAATACGATTAAGAGTCCTGTGCACTAACAATTATACTATTGGAGCTTGCAAAATCATTTTTTTGATATGGTCAACTCGAATTGAAATTGAGTTGAACTTTTGCGGCTTTCAACTTGTTCATGCACACTTTGATCTCGGCTTGATTCAGCACTTGTTTCTACGATTCCGCATTTCGTTTCAAGCATAGTTGTTCAGCGAAAAATATTTTTGTTCCGACTTTCGAAGAAGGCGAGGAATTCATATGCTTGGGGTTTTTTTTTCATAATCAGACCAATTTAAAAAAAAATTGGTGATCTTGTGGAGTGATCTGGGGTTTAGGAATTTTCAAGCAACTGTGCTAACGCTAGCCTAAATCCGATTGGAAAAACATGATGGTTTTAACGCGCGTATTTTTTCTGCGTTGTGAGACATCCCGCAGTCATAATCGTTCCAAATTCAAATGATGCTAAATAATCGGTCTATTAATTCGACTCTAATTTTAGCACTTTATAATTGATATTCGTAGACCAAAAACTAGTTTATCAAAATTTTATTTAACAAAAGAGTTTAATGAGTGTAACGTCATCCGGGGCAAGCTGGAGTAGGACAAGTTGGGCTGGGACAAAAATGTCTCGGGGCAAAATTACATGTTATCTTGAAATTATACGGCAAATTTTGTTCGAGTAACGAGTATTCGCTCAGAAAAAAAGCGGATAAGCGCCCATAGCAAGTTCTTTGAAAGTTGTAGGAGCAATAATCTATTTCTTCTGTTTTTATCAAAGATGCTGATCTTCTTTGAGCTGATCAGATGAAAAGTTTAGACCATTGCCTAATCCTGATTAACTGAGAGGTCATAAAATTCGATTTCTTTCAACTTTGTCTGTTTTTTTAGTCAGGGCTTCACCTTTATTTAAATTTGATGCCCTCTGCGCTTAGCCATTCTTGCTTGAGAATAAATTATCGCAGTGAACAATTAAATTAAATGTAAACTCTAATTCAATAAAAATGGTAAATTTGTGCGTCCAAATATGCAACATTAGTTCCCTTGACTATATGACTCCAGTCATATCTATCAGCTTGTCTAATTTGATGTCTTCGATTCCGGGAAAAAGAAACCAGCTCTTTTTGAGCCCGGAGTAATGAAGCTTTGTTATAAGTGAGGAACAATTTGAAGGTATGACGTGTTGGGTCGTTCGGGGATGGGGTGGGGGTGGGGATGGGGATAGTGTTTATGCATAGGAGTGCAACTGGGAGTCCTCCTCGGAAGAGGCTCGATGATCGGAGGATTCTGCCTTGTTCTGTCTGTCGTCTTCTAACTCTTCGGCCGCATCTGTCTCCTCCTCCTCCTCCTCCTCTGTCCTGCCCTCTCCTCTGATTAATTTGACCCCTTCCTCCTCTTCGCCTTCTGTCCCTTCATCTTCATCATCGCCCTCCTCGTCCTCCTCTTCCTCTTCGGGACAACAGCTGCCGTCCCCCCTTTTCTCATCCTCTTCTGCACCACTGGGGGTCAAAGGCTCCTTAAAACAAAAATTGGTACAAGCAACCGTAAGCTAAACAGGGGGGGTCTGTCTACAATTTTCTCAAAATGAAGGGAATCAGTTTTTTTGAAACCTGAAAGTTTTAGCGACTTAGGTCGATCAAATCAGTTTTTCAGCTGAACCAATACATTTTAAAAAAGCTATTCTGCCTAAATTTTCTGCGCTGCATGCCATTATGTCAAGAAACGAATAGGCCAAAAAGGAAGTTCCGAGACAATTTTTTTGGAAAGTTTTGACCAAAGTTTCAGTTTTCGTGGCGCCCCTCCCTTCTCAAATTTGAGTGGCCAGTTGGCTCATACCTGAATTGGGCGTCCGCCCCACACCCACTTATCCAATCAATCCGCCCCAGAAATAAAGGGAAAAAACAACAACTGGTGTTTCTATCTAGTGGGGTTATCTAAAACTTTTGCGCATCAAAATTTGAAAAAAAAGAAAAATGGCTTTTCTTTGAAATCCCCCAAGTTTTTCTGTGGAGGGAAAAAAAGAAGGGCCTAAAAATTCCACAATTTCAATTTGAGTTTACACTCGATCCAACTGCGCCTTGAAAAAAGCTTGTTGTTCCGACTTTCGAAGAAAGTGAGGAACATAAATATATATATAAATATAAATACCCGGAGAGTCTTTTTATTCAGACCGATTTTAGAAAATTTGACTGCATATGGGCATATCGATCCGGAAATCTTGGGATTGCCAAGCGACCATTCTTGCATTAGACTTAGGTTCGTTTTTGCTGGCTGGAATAATACTTGCATATTTTGCTTCCAAACGCAAATTATTTATGCGTTGCAAATTATCCGCACTCATAATCGTTGTTTATTAAATTGACACAAGCTAATTGGTCTGATTCATACCATAAATGACTCAAATTTTAACACTGATTATATCAGCTTAATATTGTAGTTTCTCAATATTTCATATAACGAAAACTATTCGAGACCAGTTTATGGGCAGTCAGAACATTCAGGCTTTTGCCCTGATACAATAAGATAGTTATTTAGGAGCAGACGTTCATTAGGCGCGCAGTCCGCCTTGAATCCATCTCGTTCAAATTTGTGTGAAAACTAAAAAATGTATCCTTATTTTTGTTCACATGGGCCGCAACTTTGATAAGCTCATTGATAACCAGTTTTTCACAATGCAAATCGGTTTGTGTGAAACACCATCGAGACTTTGATGCTCAGAAACTACTGTACAAATGCATTTGCCGAGTGACTGAAACTCTGAGTAAAACATTGGCAAAATAAACAAGACTGCTGGTATCAGGACAATTTGGCATTTATTATAAATTTGTCTGCCAGAACAATCTGCAACTCTCTTTATAGCGTTTAACAAATTTATCGGACAACGTATTAAATTTCTGAAAAAATTCTGGCCTTCAAATTCGAAATATTTCTCTGAAGTTTCGCGTTTGCCTTTTTGTCGGCATTTTGTGTTTTGTTTTTGCTGGGGAAATTACATGGGAAATCGGTGTTGAATGAAAAAGTTTTTTAAATTGTGCTCTCGAAGAAATGTAACTCTCCAAAAAAACGCAATCATTTTGCATAGCTTTTTTGTCAGTACAAATGCAGTTTTGAACATTTGAATGCAGTGGGGGCTATTCTCATGGACGAAGGACCAATTTGGCGAAAAACACATGGGCGAAGGATCGAAAACAAAAAATGTTGAAAGTCAATTATGATAATGAAGAAATTTTTGTTCGACTAAAAAGAATTAATTGAAGCAATATTTAGCTTTTTTTATAACGAAAAGCTTGAAAAACTAAAATTTGTTCCAATTCGCCGGCGGTCAGTGACAGTTTAATAATTTTGCATATTTTGCCGTTTTTATGTTCGATCAATAACAATATCAAGTCCTTGGAAATAATCACTTTTTTTTTTACTTTTGCATGCTTTCTTTTAAAGTTTCAGAATACTGAAATCTGATATGCTGATTTTTATTTTAGCCCATTCGGTCCTTCGCCAATCAGGGATTCCAATGATTGCAGTTTCAACGCCATTTCACTGGGTGCTTATTCATAGGTTCCCAAATAAAAAATCAGTCCCATAGGTTCCAAAATAAAAAAAGTAGTCGCATAAAGTCCAAATCTTTTCAATTGGTCAAAAGACTAAATTAGCCGAGTCTCGGTTTAAAGTCGCCGGTGGGCGATAACCTGCTCTAAATTTCGTATAAAGCCCTACCCTTTGTTGGCAAGCTCGCAACACGTTTGTCATACCGTCAACTCCTCGAGGTATGAACGGTTGGTTATTGAATCCGTATGGATAGATAATATCAAGCTTGTGAGAGAAATAAGTTAGTACAACTTGTTTTCGTAAGAGTTAATTGTTCTCTGAACCGTAGTTCTCTTCAGACGCCGTTCTCGTCCTTGTATCAAGGTCAATCGATCAGTACACGTTAATGTTATATAATATCAAAACATAAATGGTATATAAATACATAATACGTTTTGCATGGAGTTTTATCTATCCATGCCGGATGACATTCCCCCTCCTCGAAAAAATGGTAAAGTTTTATTTGAGTTTTTAAGTCCCCGTAGGACTGTTTACCTGGTGTTATTCATATCTCCCCTCTTTGTTCTCCGATGTTGTTGTCAGTGTTGTCATCTACTGCTCCGTGTTCTTCTTCATTGTTTAGTTGTTCGTCTTGTTTTGGATCTTCTATATTTTTCGAATTTTCGCAAAATATGTGATTATTGTCTATCTTTTCGTCATCAGCCTCCGCTGGTGAATTTAGATCAATTAAATCATTTGTAATGCTTGTTTTATGTTTTGGGCTAATTTCCTGGATAAACTGTATGCAGGCTTTGTATTCCGGAGTTTATTCAGAAAATCCCATTTCCTGAATTAAAAATTTCAGGCTTGGCGTATTTTGTTTCGATTTCTCGGGTGGTGAGTCGATTCCAAATTGTTTCGTCCCTACTATGCTTGTGGTTCGTATCGCGTTGATTGGGATAGGGTTTCCTAGAGCTGTCGCTAATGTCGCCTGTCTTGCTCTTGTCGACTTTCTTGTTGCGATTGCAGGCGGTGTTGTTTTTTGGTTTTTTCGCATAGGTGAGGGTGAAGTGTTCTCCTCCGATTTGGACGACAAGTCGTCTTCTTTTTCTTTAATAATTGTCTTTTCCATCTCTGTTTGGAGACTCATCCCTCTTGGAGTTTTTAACTTTCTCGTTGGCTTTCCTCCAGGCCGTTTTCCCAATGTTTTTCTTTTCGCGGGACTGGCTTTGCATGTGCCCTGACTTTGTGCTTTCTCTTGATTTGATAACTTGACTGGGAGCCCCGTTCTGGTGTTCTCCTTGAACATGGGGTATTGTGGAGCTTGTGGAGATTGATGTCTAAAAAACGTAAGCATGGTGCTTTTCTCCGTGCGGATTTGTAAGCAACATAATCGCTCAAACGAGAAGGTCTGCAAGGTCCGTATATTACCGGGTTGGGGACGAAGGCGGTACCACTATTCCTTAGTAGTCTTGGTTGTTTGCCAAAAAACTGTACCCAAGCAGTATGCGGTGTGTATGTGAGAATTTTTCGGTCTATTGTTTTGTATTTTTGTTCAAATGTTTTTTCGGGTTTTTTTCTTTGGTTGCTAGCCGAATGGTTTTTTGTGCCACTAGTTCTATGCGTTTTTTGATATTTTTATCGACTGTTCGTTGTACTCCCTTATATCTTAAATTAAGTTTGTTCTCAGCTAGTTCTACAGATTCTGTATATGCACCTGTTTCTGACTGTGGCGATGAATATTTGTTTTCGAGCGTCCTCGGTATTGGTTCATGTGGAACTTTTTGTGGTGTCTCTTTCTTTCGAATTTGTACTTCGTCCTCTGACCATCGTTCGAGGTCATGCATGACTTCTGCTGGCAACGGCGGCTTTACCGGGTTCTTTCGATCTAAACGTGCATGTTTTGCGCTCTCCCAGTTTGAGTTATTAGGTGAGCTATTTGTGGCTATGTTCGATAATGGAGTGTTTGGTTTTCTAGCCAAATGTGCTTCAAAAGGAGAAATTCTTGTGACACCGAGTGGTGTGATTCTCAACGTTTTTATTATTTCTGCGACATCCGAAGCTAACTTTAATGGTGTATTTGTTTGATCTATTCTCATTACCGCTAATCTACGCTTAATTGCTTGGATCATCCGTTCAACTAACCCTATAGCTCTGTGATCATCTACGGGTGCAAAAAATAGTTTTATATTTTTTGACCTACAGAAAATTTGTAGTTTTTTCGCTCGGAATGTTTGAGCTTGGTCGCACCTCAATCTACGCGGTACCCCGTTGTTAGAAATATATCGTTGCATGAATTTAATTGCAATATCTGCTGTTGTGTTTGAAACAATTTTCGCTGTCGGGAACTTTGACCACTTATCTATTGCCACCAAAATGTATGCGTCTCTATTTAGTTCGTCCGGTACAGCCCCGCAAAATCTAATTGAACTTCCTCATTAGGATCGACCACCGGTTCCATTTGGAATGAAAATTTTTTGCCTAGGCTGGGTTTTAAATTTTTACCTTGCTCCGTGCAATGTTTACAGTTTTGTGCCATCTGAGCAGTTGAGCGATGAATGTGCGGGAACCAGACATGTTGACTCAGATCCAACATGGCTGACAATCCCGGGTGTGTGAGGTGAAGACTATCCAGGACTGTCTGTCGGAGCTGCGAAGGAATTACGATCCTTTCATCGAACAGGAGGCAGTCCTCTCGGAAATGGAGGCGATTTCGGATATTGAACCAGTACTGTCCGTATGAAGCTTTGATGGCATCCCAGTCTCGCTTTTTCACAAAGTTTATCAGTGGGCGCAAATTTCTGTCTTTCTTGGTGGCTGCAGCGATGAATGGGATTCCCAGTACTTTTTGTAGTTTACGACGAAATAAAGGCGTGTCCTCCTCGGTTTCAGTGGCTTTTTCAACAGTGGCCACCACGGTGTCCATTATTTCTGTGTGGCTGGCCTCTAGTTGTAACGAAGTTGTCATTGTCGGGGGTTCCACGTTAGGTGATGTCTCCTCTTGTAGACATACATTGGGATCCACGCGGCTGACATACATCTCTTGTTCCATCGGCTGATCGTTTTCGATGTTGCTACTTAATTGGGTCGATGTAGACGATTTCTCTTTTTCCATCTCGGTTTGTAGCATTGTTTGTGTGACTATGGTTGCTTGAGCTATTAGTGGCATAGTTGTTTGTGAACTGCATCCTTTTGTTACGTAGGATGTTGCTGTTGTGGTGTCTCCAAAGATAATCTTTGGAAATTTTGCAATTTTTCGATCCTGTGATCAAATCTCTTGCGTAAGATACTTGTGCGGTTGGTTGGTATTGCGGTGATCATTTAGTTTTCTTCATCTGCTTGTCTTTTGTTGGTGGTCGCTTGTGCCACCTAGGGTCGGAGAGGCTTTGTTCTCGGTCTGATGTGTTCTTCCAATCCACCGAAGCGGTACGACCGCGTGGTTTTGTGGTTTTTAGATCGCTCGGGATGAAGCCGCCCGTGAAATTTTTTGTATCTCTTCTACTCATTATGTGAAATTTCATTGAGTTGATCGATCGCTCGTTGAATTGAAGAGTTTTTGAATGCGAGAGTGTTGACTGATTTTGAGCTGAATGAAATGTTGACTGAATTTGAACAGAGTTTGAGTTAGACTGAATTCTGTTTTTGAGTAGCAATTGACCGTTGATGGAATGTTTGGAATGTTTAATTGTTGATTGAGCGTTTGTTCTAGCATCTAATCGCCCTTTAATTTCTGCGCGTTTTTTGATCAGGTCACATGGTGCTTTGTTTTGATTGGCCAATTGATTTAGGATGACATTGTCAATCATTTCTAAGTTGTTTATGAATTTATTAATTGACGCAACTACAAATTCCTCGTCATACTCGCTGGGGGGTAAGGGTAATCCAACCGGATTTCGTGACATAGAGTCTATTAAGCCCATTTTACTCCCTGCGAGATGTTTGATATCAAAATGGAATGGTTTTAATCTATCGATCCAGCGGGTGAGACGGCTTTGACTTGTCTTTGATTATTCGCTGGCGTTTAACGCGCTAATTAACGCTTGATGATCAGTGACGACAGAAAAATGTTTGCCGTACAAATAATATTTGAAGTGCTCAATTGCCCAAACGACTCTTAATAATTCTAATTCGTTGACTGAATATTTTTTCTCAAGGGAATTTAAAAAACGTGACGCATATGCTATAGCCACCCAACCTTCTGTTGAATGTTGCTCTAATGCTGCTCCTAAACCTGTATTAGATGCATCACAGAAAATGCGAAATTCTAAATGTTGATCAAAATGTTTATTTTGGGTGATTTTTGCCACGAGTTGTAAAATGTTTTTAAAGGCTGAGTTGTGTTCCGGTAACCATTCCGAGTTGTGTTGGGTCTATTCTTTTCAGTGTTTTTAGTAATGGTCGCAGTGCTGCCGCTGTTTGTGCTAAATTTGGTATATATCCTGTAAGATGATGTATTGACCCCATGAAGCTTTTAAGTTGTTTTAACGTTTTGGGAGGCAATAATTTTTCAATTGCCTCGGTTTTCTTTATGAGTGGTTTAGTTCCCTCACTGTTTGTGGTGTAGCCCAACCACTCAACTTTTTTGCATGCGAACTTACATTTGTCCAACGAAATTGCAAGATTTTCCTCGTCGAGTTTTGTTAGCACCGTCTGGAGTTTTTGACGATGAGTCTCGAGCGTTCCTTTTGTTACGATTAGAATATCATCAAGTTATGCATAAGTATTGTTGCAATTTGTGAGTGTCAGATCCACTGCTTTTTGGAACTCTGCCGGCATATCCGTAAGGCCGTAAAATCCTGTTTGGAATTGGTATGTTCCGGTAGCGTTCCCCCCAATTAGACTGAAGTTGCATTGTTCTCGTATTGTTTTATCCAACGGGATCTGTGAATACGCGTATCTCAAATCAAGTGTTGTGAATAGTGTTTGGTTCGATTGGTCTGATTTCACTACTTGTGCGATATTGTCCAACAGGAGATCTATGTTTGGCATCTGATATTTGTTTTTGTGTTTGTATTTGTTAATCTTCTCCGAATCCAGTGCTAGTTTAACCGTTTGGTCCCTTTTTTGACCGTGATGACTATTGGACTGATAAATTGTTTGTCTGAGCACTTATCGAATTTGATAATATGTTTTTGATCAATCAACTTGTTTAGTTCAGCTTCAACTCTTTCTTGTAAATGTATGGGTATGCGTCTGCCCTTTTGTTGTCTCGGTTCAAAATCTTTGTTGAATTGTGTTTTCATTACGTGATGTTTGGACTTTCCAATTCGTACGCATAGTTGTTGAAAGTTATCTTTGAACCATGGTTTAATTTCATGGTTTGATTTGTCGCTCCGTTGTACGGTGAGTACCTTTTGAGTTGGTTTGTCCTGGATTAGTTTGATGCCGATGCGTGGTAGTAGATTGCGTCCTAATATATTGGCTTTTTGGTTGTCCACTATAATGAACAGAGCTGTTTGAACTTTCGTTACTATTAATCTTCCTCTAGGTTGAATATACTCACCGTTATAACACGATAAATTTCTGGCTGTATCCTCCGGGGGAATAATTTTGAATATTGCCGATGTATTGTTTTGTTGTAATCGTTGGGCGGTTTTTTCGTTTAGAAAGGACATTGGGCTACCTGAGTCAGCAATTGCGAATAATTCTGTTGTATTCGTTCTCAATTTGACAACGTTTTCATTCAAATTGTCTTCTGATATTGTTTTTGTGTCCTTAATCTCAAATAATTCTGAAATTTCCATTACTGAGAAATCGTCTATTTGATAGTTTTCCCAACCATTGTTTGTGGTGAACTCAGCGTATGCCACCGGGTCGGTATCTGTGCCCCGTGCTCTCTATTACTGTTTCTTCTTGTTGTTCCTCATTTGTATTGCCTAGATAGTTGACGTTTGTGGAACGACAAATTGTTGCAAAATATCCGCATTTTGCGCATTTTGAACAAATTTTGTCTTTGGCCGGACAAGATTGTAAATGATTTAGACCATATTGATTTCCATATTTGAAACATTGTTTGTAATTTGTGTTTCGTTGTTGTTGATATTGTTGACCCCTTGCGTTTTGTGATCCACGTGGATATGGTCGACCGCGAAAACTTCCCCGGCCGCGTTGATTGTTTTGGTTATACTGTTGATTTTGTCTGCCACGTGTATTGACATAGTGTATTGGTTCTTGTTTTGGGGTCGTAACTGTTTGCCCTCCGATCGGATTTACTTTCATTGTGCGGCTGTGTTTGATTCATTTTTCGCGTCGGATCGCGTATTCATAAGCCTCCTGTGGCGTACGTGTTTGGGCTAACAATTCCTCTGCAATTTTTTCATTGTTATTGTGAGCAGTAAACATGTCCCTTATCCACGCACTTTCTCGGTCGCCGCAATCAGCCCGTGAAGCTAGTTCCACTAGGTCAGCCTGAAATTGTTCTAAGCACTCCGTTTTCTTTTGTTTTCGACAAATAAAATTATACCTCTCAAAAGCTATTATCCGTGTTGTGACGAATATGTATTCCAAAACAGTCATGAATTGTTGTGTAGACACCGTATGGAATTGCATATTCGGTCGTTTTTGCTGTATTTGACGTTGTCCTTCGGTGCCGAGACACTTTGCATCCTTTGCGTCCGCTTCATCCCATCTGATTGAATTACACAGCACCCCTCTTTCTCGCGCTTTTATCACTTGGTTCTCCCAGCCCACTCTTTTTTCTTGGTTGCGCACCTCTCGGTTTTTCCTTTGAGCATCTGTTTCACCAGTGATTTCAACCTCGTATACTGGCTCAGCTGGTTCGATAAGTGTTGGGCGGGCTCGTAATAGGTTTCGATTTTCGATGCCGTCTCTAGCGAATACTGCCATTTCCAATATGGCCACCCATTTTGTTCACTCTAGTGGAGGTTCAGCCGATGCTCGTTCCCAAAAAGGATTTATGTTGAGTGGATTCTTCGAAAATCCTGGTGGCTGCGCCATGTCATACCGTCAACTCCTCGAGGTATGAACAGTTGGTTATTGAATCCGTATGGATAGATAATATCAAGCTTGTGAGAGAAATAAGTTAAAACAACTTGTTTTCGTAAGAGTTAATTATTCTCTGAACCGTAGTTCTCTTCAGACGCCGTTCTCGTCCTTGTATCAAGGTCAATCGACCAGTACACAATAATGTTATATAATATCAAAACATAAATGGTATATAAATACATAATAAGCTTTGTATGGAGTTTTATCTATCCATGCCGGATGACAACGTTGGCGGCGGTCACTATTCTGCAGCTTCAGTTTATGCTGGTTGAACAGTAAACAATCAATCCATAAAATGGTTGGCTCAAATTTCAACCAATCAGAATTCAAGAAGATGAATTTTGGAACTTATGCGACTTATTTTTTATTTTGGAACCTATGAATATTGGAACCTATGGGAATTCACCATTTCATTGTCTCAAGGTCAGAATTTTTTCAAAAATTTAACACGTACCGATAAATTAGTTAAAAGCTATCTCGTGAGTGGCTGTTAGTTACCTTCTCGTGGTCACTGAGAGTGTTGGTCATGTCAGTGGGTGAACTCCTCTCGTGCTCCTCCAGTGCATTGTCGTTGGCACTCAGAAGATCCTCCCGCTGCTGCTGCTGCTGGCAACTGCTTCTGCCAGTAGTGCTGCTGTAGTTATTCGTGGAATGTCCACTAGTATGGCCAGCAGTAGTCAGCACCCCTCCCCCTCCCCCTTCCCCACCTTCCTTGCTTCTAGGAGGGCTCATCTCACTCCTGCGTCCCCCTCCCCCATTCACTGCTGATAACTCACTGTCATCGCCTAAACATACCACACAAAACATCACTTAAGGTCAATTACACGCTGAAAAAAATGTAATTTAAATTAAAAGTTCACAGTTATAGCCAATCGAAATGTACACAGAGACAAAGATGACCGTCGCTTCACATGCGATGCAGAAAAAGGGTAGTTGCCAAAAAGAAAACAGTCCCTTTGCAAAAGAAAACATTTATGAAAAAGCATGTTATTCGAGTTTCGCAAAAATTAACCACGCAGAAAAAACCATGCTATACTGAAACAAGACATCTCGTATAAAAGGGAAGCCCTGAAAGTTCTGAATATCATTTAGGGTGTTTGAAGAAAGCTCAAGTTTGAAATTCAACAACGTTATCAGAAAAAAATAATGCTGCAAATACTAGAGTTTTCCTCTTTTTTGAAAATGTTCCCCCAATGTAAAGTACGAAGCGATATATTTGAACCCCCTTCCCCGTGAGAACATCTAGATACGATCCCTGATTTCGCATATTTGCTGCAACTTCTGCAGTGAATTCATTAGCTGTATTTGCTAGGCGCTAATGAAAAATTGAAAATTTACGCGCTTTCTATTTATTCTAAATTGGCAGCAGTAGTCCCAAATTTGAATTTGAACTAGGATATCTAGTCGCTGTAAAAGTTTCCGACCTCAAAATATGACAAGACTGCTCGTGTCAGGGCAAAGCCCTGAAAGTTCTGACTGCCTTTTAAGGTCTAAGGAGCAGTAATAGCGTGAAAAATTATAAGTAAGAAAAATAAAATGTTTATTTTTTTCATTTGAGATTTTTGCAAAAATCATCCCCCACTCGCCATATAAAGTAGAAAGTGATAGATTTCGCTCCTAGTAACAAATTAATAATGGCAAATAAACTTCATTCAATTAATTTGGAACGATTTCTAAGACAGATTAAATCTTCGCTTGCGCGTTAATAGCGCAAAATACATCGCGCGTTAATTGTCCCAAAATTGCCAAAAATGGAAATATTTAAACCCCTATAACTTTACGAAAAACATCCCTTGGTAAATTTTTTTTTCAAACTTCAGCTCAGGACAACAATACCTTTTGAATGATACTTTAAAAATCTTGTCAAAATGGCTAGCTAAAAAGTCGAAATTTCTCTGAAAAAAAAAACCCACACGAGCACAATTATTCGTTACTTTCGTTACAAAATTCGGAACAAAAATTTAAAAGAAGTCGTTTTTTGTTGAAATATGTGTTGCAAAGATCTGAACCAAAAAAACCTAGATCTTAAATTTTATTCAATAAAAGTAGTAAATAATTGATATTCGAGCCGAATTTCTCTTGAATTTTTTTTGGAAGTAAAATAAAAACATTGAAAAAAATTCTTAAATTTTTTTCAATTTTTGCAGAAAATAATTTGATGTTTTTAGAATTTTTTGTTCCTAAAAAGCCCAAAAAACTTCAGAACTAGTTTTTTGAGTAAAACTTATTTTTCACAGCTTAACTTGAAGTATAAGCCGACTATCGTAAACCTATTACACGTCTGCTTGATCGATTTCATGTAGAGTAAAAATTAAAATTTCGAACTGGTTTTCTCGATAATGAAGAACACTTTTTAAGTAGTACTTTGCGTCGATCGAGTCACGACTAAAAACTTTAACTATGATATATCGCTGGACATATTTCAATTATTATTTGTGGTACCTGATTTCCTAGAAAAAAATTAAAAAACCAAAACACCCGAAGACAAAGTTCCTCCCCACTTTCAAAGGTCAAACGTTAAGTTCAAAACTTTCACTGGCGGAAGAAGAGTTGTCTCAGTTAACATTACCATCTAGTTGAATAGTCGCAGTGGTGGCTGAAGATTCGAAATAAAAAATAAAAAAAAACTGGTACCTTTTTTGGCGAATAAGCTACCCAAGAAACAGATAATATGAAAACTCATTTTTTGAAGCTTCAAAAATTTGACAGAAGGTGAAAACAACAGTAATTCAATTTGTGAACACTTTCGACTCTCTGAGAGTTTTCTGGAGTCTTCTTTTGCAAAAGATTTTAAAAAATGAAATCGAAAAGTATTCTAAGAAAATCATATTACCAAATTTTTTTTACAGGTGCTGACAAAAATAGTTCGTACAGATTGAACAGAATTGAACTATCTCTAGTTTTGATTGAAATCGACATAAAAAGAAAAAATTGATTTAATCATAAACAAGAGACATAGGCATCAGTTTTTGCTGTAAAAAAACTTGCACTATTACTGTGTAAACTGAAATTATAACAACCAAATAGGGCTTTGTCTTGATTTATCAAAACGCTTTGGGTAGAAAATTTCGAAGCAGAGAAGCATTTTTTGTCAAAAATTTAAAGTAGATATATATAGATATGTGTGTGTGTGTGTGTGTGTGTGTGTGTGTGATGTGTGTCTGTGTTTAAGTGTGTGTGCGTGTGTGTGTGTGATGTGTGTGTGTGTTTCTGACTTTGGTTTCTGACTATTAATAAACCTGCATACCGCAAAAGTAAACAGTGATTTAATAGAACAGAGGGGCAAATTTAGGGAAAGGAGTGGCGGACTTCTACACCTCTCCGCCAAATTTTTTTTTCACATTTTTTTGTTTTACAACATGTAATTTCGATCGATTGACTGTAAAATTGTTTAACATAAGTTTCAAATCTTGAATAAAAAATCTTTGGTTGAAGCTCTGTTATTGAGGTCCAAATGTTAACAATTTGCTTGTTGACTTTGTAGAAATCTACCAACAGGTCAACAAAATCTGCGAATTTTGAAAATTTTAGCGACGTTTTTTTTCGCGTTTTCGGCGCGCGCTCTCCAAATTCCAAATGGATGCCATAAAAAAGTACGAAAGTATCAAAACTCCCTTCTTCTCCTGCCCACATGATACTCACCTCTTGTTTCATACGAATCTCTCTTTTACATAACAAATTAAACTTGAAAAACAGATAGTTCCAAAAAAATCACAGGATGATAAAATAGTAGCTCATTTGCAGCTCATTTGATAAAATAGTAGCTAATTTGTAGCTCATTTATTTCAACCCCAACTCAAACCCCTATTTTCTGATGCCTGATTAAATCTAGAGGGAAAGTGGCAATCAAAAGAACATCAAAATTCATTGGATCGGAGGAAACTTCCCAGGCATTTGATTGACTTCCAACTCTGACACACAAACTAATCTGACTAATCTAATTGCATGTATTTTCAAACTACATCAACCCCTGGGAAAGTCTCGCTGGATAGTTTGCGAATTATAACAATGTCACCCTTTGAAATTTGGGCTTAATTCATACCAAAAGTCAGGGAAATGAGGGATCGAAATCATAATAACAAACAGAAACTTTCAAGCCGGCGATAGTTTTTTGCAACCAACAAAACAAACTTTGGTTCGACCAGACCGATAGAATGTCAAGTTTAGTGCTGTTAATAATTGAAAAGATTAAATTTTGAAATAAATAAGAATGCTGGCATCGCAGCAAAGCCCCATGTTCCGACAGTGTTTTACGATCAAAAGAATTTAAAAGTTTAAAAATAATTTAAAGTAATTTAAAATCCAAAAAAATTCAGACGAATATTTTTCTGAAAATCACACGCTACCTAAAGCTTAAAGTGATCTATTTAAATGCCACGTAGCAACGAATTATTAGTTTTAGGTACTTTGCCTCATATCAAATTGGACTTGTTTCTGAGGTATAAAAAACTTTGAGGTACAAAAAATTTTTCTGAAGAAAAAACCACAACGAGCATACATATTCCATCCTTTTTTGAAACTTGGAACAATCATTTGGCTTTTTGTTCCGAAAAGTGAGAAGCGAGTTTTTATAACGCCTGTTCAGATACCTCAAAGCAAACTCGCACATGATCAAGTGTGGTATCAAACTGGAGCCTTTTCTGCCGTCATTCGCTTCTAAAAATGTATTTCAAAGAAGTTCCCTCAAATTCGAGAAAAACGGGTCTGAAGAATTGTGTTATTTAAACTATTTGACTGGGAGGAAAACGCAAACAAACATTTTCTGGGACGTATTTGTTTCTCTATTTGTCAACAGTGCGATCAACTGTGATTGTCAAAATGACTGTTTTTGCAAAGTTGAGGTTTTGAAAATTGCCAATTTGACTTATTTGGGAGAATTGAAACTCGACATATTTCGAGCTATTCACGCGTAAGCAGAGATTTAATCCAACTCCAAAATCGTTCCAAATTGAATTGAAGCATATGCTAGTTGTTGTTCCAAAGAAAATGACAGATTATTTGTGCTCCGGGTAGTTTTTTTTTCTCTATACCAATTTCAATTTTTTAACAAGCCATTTTTACGAATTATTTAAAATTCCATTTGCCATACAAGAAACATAACAAACTTAAAACTTCATAAACAGAAAAAAAAGGAAAACTAGGTCTACCAATTATTTAGTATCTCTCGATTAAAGTTCATTCCTGGCCAATATTTGAAATTTAAATTAGCAAGGGAGCAAAATTTACGAAACGGAAACAAAGCTGACAATCTTTGAGCAATCCCAGTTGAGCCGAAAAGTAATTTACTTTATATAAAAATTTTGAAAGTTTTAAGTTCCCCCTGAAACAACAAAGAACATGAAACTTGAAATGAAACTAAGCTTGAAACCAAGAATTTAGGCTGCAAAAGAGACGGCGTTATCTCTAAGCCAAAAACGAAGGATCCCGGAAGTTTTTAAAATTCAATATTAAAGTTCACAATTTTACAGATTTATAAGAAAATTTTACGGGAAAAAGTCTAGTTCCCAATAACAAGATACTTGCTCTTGGAGCTATACTCATCTGAAAGTTACTGGTGTCCTGAGCTCATATTCTAACAAAAAAATAAATTACTTGGAATCATTTTTGTGACAGTATAGGGGTTTGAAAAATACCTTCTTTACATAACGTGAGGGAAGATAATATAAAGAAGAAAATCGAAGCGAAAATTGTTAATTTTTACAAAAAAGTATTTCATTGACTTTAAACGGTAGTCAAAACAATCAACGCTTCGCTCTGATACGAGCAGTGATTCTTATTAAAACGCTACTATTTGTTAAAGTATCAATTTGTACATGTAATAGTGTGTAGTTGGATGATTTTCAAAAAAAAAAATTGAGAAACTTTCAATATTTTTAAAAGTCAAACACTACAGCAGACATTAAAGGGCAGTCGGCACATTCAAGGCGTCGCCTTAAAACACGCAGTATTTTTTCTCGGTTTCGTAACCAGTCTATCGGATCTAGATTTTGAATTATTTTATGAACAAACAGATACGGCGATCTTAATCGTACCTCCAACTGAGCAGCGATCGCCTTGGATCTCAATCGTCACCGGTTCCATCACACGACTGCTAATGTGTCCCACACCGCTCATTCCTGTCTTCTCCCCCTTGGCCCCGTTCAACCGGGGGGACTCCTCTTCCCCCGCACCCCCCTCGCCCTCTTCCCCTGTGTTATTACTAGTGTTATGTGAATGGGCCTGGGAGGGGTTGGTCTGCTGGGAGACTGAGGCTGACAAGGAAGTGTGAAGAAGAGAGTGGGTGGGGGCTGAAATGGAGATGCTGCTCTGCTGTTGGTACTGCAGTCTCCACTTGTAGTTGAACTGTCTGAGTAGTTTGTGGTACTTTTCGAACATGGGGATGTCTGTGAACTGAAGCGTCTCCACGTCGTACTCTTCGATGAATGGCAGCAGTTTCAGCTGCATCTGTTTGTACCTCCTGCAAATAAAAAGTAAAAATTTTATCAAAAAATTATTTTATGCGGGGAGTCTTCAATACTCATGCCTCAAAATTTAAAGTAAATAGGGGTATAGGGGGTGGGGGGGGCTTACACTGGATGTCGTGTGAGTAAAGTTGAACTCAGAACAAACCTTGAAAATATTTTTTTTAAGACACGCTGAGTGTGTATAGTTTTTTTTACCAACACTGAGATGAAAAAACTTTGCAATCGCTTTCAAAATTCTGAGTTCCAGCAAACTACATAGTTAAATCCGATTTCAAAATCCGTTAAAAACACCGGAAAATTCCGGATTTTCGTGAACAGTTTTGCTATCTCTTTCAAAAAAAAAACTTGACTTATTGAATCAAAAGTCGAATGTTATCATGGAGCAAATCCAATTTTTCCTATGGCTCAGCAGTAAATCTATGAGGTTTAGCGGAAATGACGATGATGCACAAAGCACAATGAATCACGGCTAGCCAACGTAATTATATACATTATGCAGTTACTCATCGACACCATAAGCGATTCCGCAATCCTGTTCCGGAATCCTGAATTCGGAAGTTAAAATTTCCGGAATTTCCGGTTCCGGAACTCCGGCAAAAGCAAATACGGTTACATCTCTAGCAAAAAAAAATAAGGTTTTTGATATTCTTCCTGAAAATCTGCTCGAACTGTTTAAAGAATTTCATATTTTTCGGTGTTTCAAGGGAGCTCGGAATATTGATTAAATAGAGGAGAAATAAATTAAGAACAATACTGGGGCATTCGTAGTATCAAGTATCAGGGTAATCATTGATGTTCCACCCCCTAAGGTTCCGTGTCAGGGGCGGATCTAGGATTTTCTCGAAAAGGGGGCGTATTTTTTCAAAAATTTGAAATTTTTTTCGACCTTTTTTTAGGTCGACCAAATTGATTTTGCGAGCATTTTTCGCTCCCTAATGATTTTTGCTCTCAGAACACTATAAAGACCCTTATTTAGCGCCGCATTCAAATTTCTTGAAAAAAAAACAGGTCAAAATGCCGCTTTTTGGCTACTTAAAAAAACTTCAGGTTTCGTCAGCCAAAAATGGATGTCATAAAAAATGCCAAAGGGAAACCCTTTGGTTGGTGAGGTGGTTGAGTCATTGAGGTTAGAGTCGCCCTGTAATCTTAAAGAGATTTCGCCCTGTTATATTAAACTATAATACGTAAATATTTTGACCAGTTTTTCTCATGTTACTTTGTTTCGTTTTGGAACCCAATAAACGACTGCAAATTCTTCAAAGTGATACCACGCTCCATCTTCTATAGTAGCCAGGATAGCCGGTTGCTTTGCAAGTAGCACATCATGTTCCGACCATATTCATAAAAACTGCAAATAAAAGTTCTTCAAATCAGTGACGTTTTTTGTGGATAATGTCATAGGAAAACAATACACAGTCGTAAAAAGTTAGTAAATTAGGCATAATCGACAACAACTGTCTTCAAAGTAAAATATTGAATAAAAAAGGAAACAAAACTCAAATCACGACTGAAATGGCTTCAATATGGCATATTACTCAGCCCAGTCCGATGATTATTTGTGGTGCCTAATTTCGCGTGGAAAACAAAAAAAAAGAAAAAACTTAAACACCCGAACACAAAGTTCTTCCTCTTTTTCAGTTGTCAGAACAACAAGCTTTGCTTTCATTGTTGTGAGAAAACTGTGCTATCACTAACCCCGTCCCCCTAATCATGGCCATCACTTTTTGCTTCCATACGCTACTGCTTTCTGTAAATATGGGAGTGCTGGTTTTGAAACCATGTGTTTTTTGAGAAACAACTGGGAGATAGTCTATTAATACGTGGCTGGAATGGGGAGGGGTGGGGTGTGTTGTGACTTGCAGTGACTTGATGTGACCTGGCTTGTGAGGAGGTGGGGAGGTTGTTGTCCCACAGATTGTCTGCGTAGTAGTTCCTGTTGGTGGACTTGAGGTAGGAGCACCTGCTGGACAGACTGGAGGGGATAAAGAGGATGAAGAAGAGGTGACAGCTCCGCCTCCGCCCCCGCCCCAAAGGACTGCTCAATCTGCGACCCTCACTCGAACTGCCGCCTCCCACCGAATAGCTCACACTTTTGTCAATGCCTATCACATTAAACACACAAGTATCGTTAATGCCAAATTGTGCTCTTTTTCCATACTCCCCCCCCCCCCCCCCCCACTGCAAAGTTTTACAAGTGAATAATTGTTGTTAACATCATCCGATTGTTATGAAAAATGACATGCGGACTAATAAGGCTACGCAATAAACATATTTGGTCTTCAAAACCTTGTAAAACCACTCGTTACACTAACATATTGAAGCTCGTGTGAGGTGGGGGAAAAGGAAAAAGAGCCGGCGCCTTAGAAAGTTTATGGTCAGTCAGCCAAACATATATATCTCAAAATAGTACAAAGGAGGGACCCTTTGGGTCGAATCCCTGAGGGTAGGGGGGAGAAGGAAAAAGAGACCCAAACTATTGGCAATCTCTTTTCGGTCAACGAATTTGAACGAAGTTCATTAGCGTAAAACTGCTCATTTTGACGCCGGATTTCGCCTTTTTACTAATTTCCTCACATAAAAACGGTTTCCGAAAAACTATTTAACCTAAAAGTATAGTTTTTGACCGATTAAACTGCCCAAGGTCACAAATATTGCCAACAGTTTGGCATTAACTATATATGCAACATCATACAGCTGCCAGCCTTTTTGGTTTTTCGGACAAATCTGATGTTTTGGCAAATTGGATATTTACGCGGTACGCAGGAAAGCTTTCTAGAATGTATATTTTTTAGAATATAATAGTTTAGTATACACGGTACGCATGAAAGCTTTATAGAAAAAAATATAGGTATAATGGAAAAGACCCGTATAACAGCTATGAGGTGAAGTAAAATAATAAAGCGGTTCATTAGCATAAGAAGAATATAAATATAGGATAGGGGTACAAGAAAGCGTACCGATGTCGCTGTTGACTAGGAAGAGAGCTGGTATGTTGAGTGTCTTGGCCTGCTCCACCACCCCTGCCCACGTGAAGGGGGCCAGGGGAGTGACGTCATAGAGCTCCATGTGGCTGTCGAACAGGTACTCGTCATACTCTGCACTCTTCATCACAACCTAACCACACACACACAACTGAACACACTTGAAAATAGAAAACAATTCGCTATGAACCTCAGCTTAAATTGTTCTGCGCAAAACAATTTACCACAAAGACACATTTTAGGGGATCGAGTGAGATGTTACATCAAATCCCTTTCAGTCGTGATTCGTTTAATATAATTTAGTTTAAGTCTGGGGACAGAAAATTTATTTAAAGTTTTTGCTTTTTATATGGCGCTTCCAATGGCGTTAGGCAGGTCAATTTCAGGTAGTCAAATAATAGTTATAACACAGAGGCGAAGCTGAGCTTCGCACCACTAGCGATACAAAACAAGAAAGCCACAGTCGGAGAATCGCAAACGTCGAAAAAATTAGATCTATCGAAAAGAATAAAGGTAGTGTTGAAAAAAACCATGACAAAAGAAGGTAAAATTAGCATCGGAAAAAATTTACCAAGTGGTAACAAAGTGGTAACAAACAAACACCTTAGCAGAAACCCCTTAGCAGAAACCCTTTAGCCGAAAAAAGAAATCAACAATACTTAAGATTTATTGAGTCCAACCTCGCCCTTAAAACAAACACACATGAAACTTTATTTGCTCGTCATATGAAAATATGGGGACACTAAGCCGATATAATATAGCCCGAAACCTGTTAAGACGAAAAGGGAATATGAAAAGCCGAAAAAATTCAAAAAAGTTATTAAGTCCCCGTCATCCTCAAAACACACCCGCCACACACGCATACAATTTTTTTTTCGCTCATCGGAAGACGGAATATGTGGCCATTAGACCAATTTGATTTAAGCCAAGACCTATCAAGCGGAAAAAACCGAAAAAATGTTATCAGGAAAACCTATAACATTACGAGGCCAAACTGTGCATTTTGTTTGGCACAGTTTGGCCTCGTAATGAATTTCTATTAATTATTTTTCGCAATTTGGGCAATTTCGAGGGGCGCATAGAAATTACATTTCCCTTGAAACCACTTAAAAATAGGACACTATGCGGATAAAAATTCAACCGATGTCATTTGAGCAGACTAAACTTTTTAAGCAAAAAAAACAAAAGAAAATAAAATATGATTATTGAATTTACAAACAGCAGAAAAAAAATCAAAAACTGAAAGCAACTACACTAATTTGCGTAGAACAAAAAACCTATCTACGATATGGCAACTAAGCCGACAAAACATAAGCAGACAAATAATACGCCGGCAGTTTTTTTGATACGGAATATTTATCGTTTAAAAAAAACAAGTTCCGTCAGATTCGAACCCAGGACCATTGCTGCCCCAAGCGTGTTCGGTAATTCCAGACCAAGTGCGCCGGAGACGCAAGGAAATTTGTATCGGTTATGAACTGAACCTAATTTTACCATTTCTAATTTCGACCATTCTGTTCAAAAAGTTATTTACGGGAAAAAAGTCTAGTTCCCGATTGCAATACCCTTGCTTACGGCAAGGATAATAATAATGTTTCATACATCAATAGGTTAATTAATCTGTTAATCTCGAGCACGCGGAGCTTCCATTCTTATTTTCTCCGCCTCTGCCAAAGCAAAATTTTATTTCTGATTTTTTTTTTCATAATTTAAAACTTTTTTTTTCATGATTGTTGTCGGAGCTTTCTGCGATACTTTACAAACTCGCCGATATTTTGCACTATTAAAAAACTTCTGCGTATTGGTGAATTTAGTTGGTGAAAATAATTCAAAAACCATTAAGCCACCCTTAAAAAGTCTACTTGACTAAAATTGATCAGTTTTTTTTTTTGAGTGTTTAACATAATTACAATTCTATTTGTCTATACTTGGTATTATGTTAAACACTCAATAAAAAACTGATCAATTTTAGTCGAGGAGACTTTTTAAGGGTGGCTTAATGGTTTTCGAATTATTTCCACCAATTAATTTCACCAATATTCAGAAGTTTTTTAATAGTGGTAAAGTTCACTGACAGTTAAAAATTGAATGTTGAAAATGTTGAATGAATACATGGATGGCATTTTCAATTGTTCACACCTGAAAGTAGGCGGGACTCTCTGAGGCGATGAGTTGTGCGAAGGAGTTGATGAAATGATAGTCGGAGCTCTTGCTGATCGGACGGATTCCTGAAATCAACTAGCCAATCACACACAGGTATAATGGTTCACGAAGAACTGTTCGTACCAATTAGTATATTCTACGGTTTCAGACAATTTAAAATGTGCTCACTAAAACACACTATGTAAAGTCTGAACTTAGTCTGAAACTTCATGAGCGATCGATCATATCATAATGAAAACAATTGCTCATATGCTTTAGTGGAATTTTTTTTCGACATTTTGTGGCCTTAAAATCTCCTTGTCTTACGTTAGCGCACGCCTCCTGAAATATACCATAAATTGGTATGGCCATTGGCATGGACGAACGTCATACCAATACAAATTTACAATCAGCGTCGACGAATATAAATGAAAGATAAAAAATAAAGATATGGGGGGGGGGATCTTTTGGGCAAAGAAAGATTGATTTGAGGTGCCAGTTTTACTTTTCATTCCGTCCCAGCGCTAATGCGGGTAGAAGTGCCGTTTCAGTTAGCGCTTTTATATCATCTTCATGAGTTACATAATATCTAAGGGGAGGGGACGGGGTGTTGTTGGATTGATACCATCCAAGTGCAGTGATTTGTGAATACTGTAAACTATTCAAAATCGGCTCTCAAAAATTGTCTCTATAATGTGCGCACCCATGTTTAGTGAAATCTAAAATATTGTTAACTTCAAAAATTTGCATAGGAGATAGAATGCCCTTCAAAGTGTGTTTTTCCCTAGCTCACATGGTATAGAATAAAGGTATGCAAAAGCGAAGGTATCTTTCGAAATTTTCGAGTATAGAAGAGAGAAAAATTCTCAGCGTGAGTGAAAGAAATTGATTAAGTGAAAGAAGCAATTTGAATTTCAGCTTCTGTTTTGGCGTTGCATGTTTATAAAAAGGACATAAAAAATTTTGGAAAATGTTCAATTTTGAAATTCAATATTTTCACACAGAGGCGAAGCGGATCTTCGCACCATTTGATACACACAAACATAAAAAGTCGAAAAAAAATAAATGTTGAAAAGAACTAGTTGAACAAAAATTTTCGTGTCTTGGTAAAAAAAAACTAGGGGCCCAGCTAAAGCTAGATGTACGTGCTTGACACTAAATGAATTTTCTATACTCATGCGGCACGAAAAATGTGATTTCAAAAATTGGACTTTCCTGGAAAATTTAGTTGTTTCTCTACTAATTTTGAGATAATCAATGATATCACTTTTATATCAATTCTCGTACAAAAAATTAAGGAGTCGCCGCTTCTATATGAACAATTATTGAAACTGGTTTTTTCAATTGAACTTTTCTCAGATTTGTTTGGATAACTAATAAAAAACTTCAAAAACTTTTCTCAAATTTGGTTGGGTAAAATTCAAAAAAAATTCTCAAAAAACGGTCAAAAGTTCTAAAACACAGTCAAAAGACTTTCGAAAATTCATAAATTGTTTCGACAAAAAACAAATTGTAGCCGTTTATGCAAACAAATTCCCAAAACCGAGATTCTCCATTAAACACCTGAGAATTGGCACGCTGATTTTCGCGTAGAGCCAAAAAAAAATCCAAAAAACTGTCTAAGTTTCAAAACTTTGACTTGTTTGAAGGCCATAACTTTTCAAACAAACTGGGCCTGGCCAAATATAAACTAGGTTTCAACAACCTATTGTATTGATTAAACGTATAATATCAGATTTTCAGAGTAGCCAGCAAGAAACCCCAAAAAAAAACCGTCAACAAAACGGAGAGAAGGCCAAAAAACGGTCAATATAAAAATTTCATTTCCGGAAACCATACTTTCTTGTGTAAAAAAACAGGGCGGAGCCTCTTATGCAGAACGAATTTATGCTACCTATAATTTTGATTGAAAATGTCAGATTTGCTAGGGTAGTTTTCGATAAGAAAAAAAAAACTTTAAAAAAGACGGTCAAAAAATCAAAATTATCCAGGGCCATAAAATTTGGAATAAAAAAATTGGCCGTGGTCGCGTAATCAAATTAACTACCCACAACCCCTTCTTGCATTTGAACCCAAAATCTCAGATATGGCAGGTGAGTTTTCAAGAAAATTCAAAAAGTATGAAAAACGGTCAAACAATCATAAATTTGAGTTTTCCGAGGGCGATTACTTTTTGTTTAAAAACACTTTGTGTGTGGCCACTAATGCAGTGCAGCTTCCCGGTGCCCATTAAATTCCTTGAACTTACAATAAAAGATTTGAGATGTTAGTAATTGAAAAAAGTCATAAAGAATCACAAAACTGTCGAAAATCAAAAAATGGACTATTCCGAGGACCATAACTTTTTATGTAGGAAAAAAATGGCATAGCCGCATATGCAAGGGAGCTTTTCTAAAGAGTTATAATCATGAAAACTAAAAACTTGGTTTTGAGAGGGGCAGTTAACGAGAAAATGAAAAACAAAAATAAAAAAAATGGTTCAAATAATTCCCAACACACTTTCGAAGGCGGTAAACAGGGGGTCAAGTAAAAAATAACTCTAGGGGAGTATTCAGGCGCACACAGTTTTTGCAAAATGTGAAAACGTTTTACAAAATGAAAAAGTAAAGTTCAACAAACCGATTGGTAAACATACAAATAACTTGAAAAGTGCGGAGGGAAGTTTTTAAATTGTGTTTCGCTTGAAGCGACCCAAAATTAGGTCCTAAGGCCGATGAAAAAACGGCACAACTAATTTGAGCCGAGGTTGTTTTTTAGCGAAACAAAAAAACGAAGGAAAGACGAAGTCAATGTAAGTAAAATTACATATTGTAGGATTAAACTAAACACTAAAAGCAAATTAAAAAATTTGCGCGCAACAAGAAAAAGTTTTCCAAGATATGACATTTAAGCCGACAAAAATAAGCAGAAAAACAATTGGTCGACAACTTTATTTAAAACAGAATATTTCTAGTTTGAAAAAAAAAACCTACTCAGATTCAAACCCAGGACTCGAACTCCTGACGTTAAATTTTACAGACAACTCCATTACCTCCAGACCAAGTGCAATGAATTATCGACTGATTTTTGATTTGATTTTATACAAAAGGTAAATGATTCAAAAGATTCTGTTGAGCAAGTTGTTAACCTGGAAAAAATTCTTTATTCTAGTTTATTCTAGTTTCAAGCGTAAAAATTTTTAAATTGTAAACTTTTTTTTGCTATCATTGAAGCGAGAAAAAGTAATTAAAACATTTAAACTAAAGTTTGGGAAGAAAAAATCTGCCCAATTTTTTCAATCTAAGATAACTCACGCACATAAAGTTCAAAAAATTTTCAGTATTCTGAAGCACAAACTGTGGGATTGTCAAAAACTATAGACCAAAAAATCCAAAAAAGTTGATTTATAGTGTTTTAAGACTAAACTTGAGTTTCTATACTTACTTTTAAAAATTTTTTTCTTAAACAACAGAAGGAGATAAAAAAGTGCTTTTTACAACCAAAAATTTTATTTTTTCCGCTTTCTGATTATTTAGTGTTTTTAACAAGCATCATATCAAGAAAAAAAATCCTTTTTAAAAAAATTTGGATTTATGAAATTGTAGCCTTAAGAGACGATAACTCAATAGGCTAAAAAAAACATAAGGCTCCGATCATTGCATTGCAAAAACTGAGAAGAAATTGAAGACAAAACAATTTGGAAAAAAATTGCTAAAAAAAATTGGTGATCAAAAAATGTAAAAAGTTTTTTTCTCATATCTGAATTGCTATAGCATCATAAAAGGTTTATGAAATTGGGGTTAATTTGCAGTATAAATTGCTAAAATTAAAACGGAAATCCATTCGGTGGCAAACTTTTCGACAAAATTTTGGAAATACACGAATGCATTAAGTGCTCTAAAAAATCTAAAATAAATCAGCAATGTTTCATCAATGAATTAGCCCTGGCTTCTGCAGGATTTTCATACTCAATTTGGAAAGAAAGCTGGACTAAAATTTTATTTTATGCTTTTCATTTGCCAGTCATTGATGATTTTGACAAGAAAGAAAGTATAGTAGTTGAAAGGGAAATCATTATAGAGAAATTGTGTTTTAATTAGATTTCCAATTTTTGCGTAGATTGCAATTTTTTTTAAATTTAACAATATATTTCTATGATACTATTTCTAAATTTTGCCCTTTTTACCGCAAGAGCCTTTAGATCTGAAACTTAAGGGATTGCGGTAGCCTCCTCTCCCAAAATGATTTAGCTGTATCTTCATCTATGTTTCAATCAAGATTCATCCATGAATCATCAATGAGTATTGCATTTATGTTTCCTAGACAAATTATCAGTTGAGACATCGTTAAATTGCCCACCCGCACTCAGTAAAAATAGAAATAACAGATTAAAATGGATTTTTATTGTCAGTCTCCATAAATTAAAAAAAAAGATTATAATAGATTAAAAATGGATTATAATGTTAATAATTTTCGAAACAAAAAACCCATTATTATCGATTGTAATCTATTATAATCGATTATTTTATGAAAAAACTATTTCTGAAATTTTATTGAATGATAATCCATTTTAATCGATTATAATCCATTTTTATTCAAAAAACGTCATCGCTTCATTTCATTTTATTTTTGTTTTGTGTGCTTTTCAGTTGATTTCTTTTCTTACTGTTTACTGTTTACTTTCTTACTATTTATTGCAAGGACGGAATTTAGGGCTGGGCGGGGGGTTGCGGACGCTTTTTATCAGGGACGCCTTTTATCCCCTGCCTACCCAAAGGGTTCCCGTTTGTACTGTTTTGAGATATCCATATTTGGTGGCGGACCCTTTGGCTTTTGGCGCCAATAAAAACTAATTTTTGGAATTTTTTTGAAAATCCGCCCCCATCCGTCGAGAAAATCTCATATCCGCCCTTGGGTTTTTGGTTTCTTACTTCATACTGATTTTTACTGTGTTTTCATGCTGAATAACTAAATTTTAATCCATTATATTTCAATTTACTAGTAAAATATTATTTTGATAAAGGGATTATAATCTATTATAATAGATTATAATAGATTATAAGAGGCTATAAGATATTTTCGGAAAAAATATAATCAATTATAATTGATTATAATAATTTATTAAATTGTCATCAAAAATGTCCTCATTGTATTGGATTATAAATCGTTTAAACATCTAAAATTGGCGCTTATAATTAATTATAGTTTTGCTAAAAGTACGATTATATTTATAATATAATTGTTTATTTCTCTTTTTACTGAGTGCTGGCATGTACAGAATGAAATTCAAAGATGCCAGAAGTTAAATGATATTTGATTTGCAAAAACACTTCAACCCGAAAGTTCATTGGTACTTTTTAGATTTTGCAGAACTTCACAAATTTGCGATAAATAAGGTTAAGTTAGGGGAAAAAACTACGTTTGCAGGATCATATATTATAGTTTAAAAAAGTGCGGCTCGTCGGAAGTGCGGGTTTTGGTATGGCTTGAGCTTTGCAACAAATCTCAATTTTGATCTTGATCGTGCAGTTTGGTGAGAAAATATTTTTTTGTTCGTTTTGTTAAATCCTAAATTCCGACACCACAGCAAAGCTGTGGTACAGAAATGAATGGTTGTGATTAAAATCAAAATGAAAAAAAATATCAAAAATAGAAAAAATTGTTTTGTTATGAAAAGTTGTGAAATCGCAAAGGTCCAAAAGATCCCAAAAAATTTTTTCGCAACTTTTACGCGGAGTTTTCGGAAAGCTAGAAAGAAGCCAAACTTTCTAAAGAGCCCGTTCTGCAGGAAGTAAGCTGGCAAAATAAGCAGGCAAACAAATTGGACTGGAATCGAACTCTCGGGCTTTGTCTCTCAAACATGGGTGTTACAGAAACCTGGAGTAAAATTGAACCTTCAAAAAATTGGGCTACGGTAACAAAGCCGACAAAAATAAACAGACATACGATAGTTCGAAAAAGCACATTAAAAAAGGTACCGCCAGGATTCGAAATACAATCCTTTGCCGGCTCAAGCAGTTGCGTTACCTCTACGCCAGATAATTGATTGAATTTGAATTTGAAGTAAAAAAATATACGAGTGAGTCCAGGAGATGAGTCGTGAACAAAATTAATTACGGGGGAAAAGTCTAGTGCCTGATTGCACTACCCTAAGCAAAGGGCAAAAAAGTTAATTTCGGGGGATCAATGAGTAACGTTTCTTTGTACGCCTTCAGTGCCAAATTTAAAATTTTGTTAACTTTAACATGAGCTTCGTCACTTTTATGTGCTGAATGTCTTCTGAAGGGAGTCGCAGAATTGAAAACTGGAAAAAATTGTAGCTAGAATAAGAGAAAAAAAAAACATTTAAAAATTCGTATAAAAAGCTGAAATTTGGCGTTTTCTTTTTAACCTTGCCAGTAGTTTTTTTTACCTTGCCAGTAGTTTTCAAAAGAAAACTGTGTTGTTCGCGTGCTTCAAGGAAACATTTCAGTGCAAAACCCGTTTGTTTTTGCATTTATTTAGTTTGAGAAAAAAAGAATTATACATACCATCTGGAAAAGAAAACATTAGACCGTTCTAAATTTCACAGTAGAATTTCTTAGTTGAATAATTTACTTGTGGATAAAATGTGAACAGAAGTTTATTAGAAACACAAGAATCAATAATCTCTTAAATCCTTCCGTAATCGATTTTCCTGAAACAAATTCAACTAAGTTTGTAAGAAGAATGTCAAATACATAACTCTTCACCTGCCAGAATGTGGGAGCAAAAGATATTTTGTTTGACATTTATTGGCGTTTCGAACCTTGACGATATTGAAAAATGTAAAAAATATATATAATAAAAAGAATATGCTGTCAGAAAATGCACTTGTTTTTTAGTATAGGAGGCAAGCATACCTGCTGTGGCTGTCGCTTGTGACCCCCTATGTCGGAACTCTGAGCCCGGCGAGGAAGAGGAAGGGTGGGAATGGTTGGCAATCGATGCAGACAAAATAACAGCCGACATGTTTTATTGCTCTGCCGAGTTGAGAGCTTATTTCTGACTTTTGTTTTTCTTGATGTGTTTGTACCCTTTGTTCCTTTTTCCGTTTTTGACTACTTTGGACTCTTCAAATTGTCTCTATGTCGTTGAAGTCTTTTTTCCGTTCGTGGTTCCTCTCGTTCCTTCGCGCCAGTTGATGAACTGCTATTCTGTTTACGTATTTTGTAATCCTTCCACGTCTATCATTCAAATTACGTTATAGTTAGATTAATTCAGGATGGTTTTGGTTTCGCTGGCGGTTTAAGCTTGTGTTTCACTAATCTGGTCGCTATTTGATACCACGTGTGAATACGTGTGGCTAAATCCACCTTGCTCCGATTAACAGCAGCTGCTTTCTCCGACTTAATCTCTGTCTTTTGTTCCTTGTTAATTCCTGATTGCGATTTCTCCACTGATTGGGTTTTTATTGACTAGTGTTTTGACTGCAGAGCTTGAGTCGCACCTGCTGAATACAGAGAAAAAACATCTAGACTCTTATGACGCATTTCTTTCTACCACACTTGAAACAACTAAACGTAGCCAAAAGACAGTTAGAAAAGTGTCAATGAATTCATAACCAAACAAGACTGCTCGTATCAGGGCGAGGCCCTGAATGTTCCGACTGCCTCTTAAGATCTGTGGCGCAGTAATAACATGAAAAAATTAAATTTAAAAGAAAAAAATTTTTTTTTTAATTTGATATTTTTTGTGAAAATCATCCTCCTACACGCCATATAACGTACAAAGTGATAGATTTCGCTCCTAGTAAGAATCAATTATGGCAAATAAGAGTCCTTCAACCAATTTGGAACGATTTCTAAGACGGATTAATTCTCCGCTTACGCGTTAATAGCGCGAATTATATACCGCGTTAATTGTTCCAAATTAGCCAAAATGGCAATCTTTAAACCCCCATAACTTTACGAAAAATGATCACAGGTGAAATATCTTTTCAAATTTGAGCTCAGGACAACAATACCTTTCGAATGATTTTTAAAAATCCCGTCAAAAATGGCTAGTTAAAAAGTCGAAATTTGTCTGAAGAAAAAAAAAACTCACCCCGAGCACAAATATTCCGTTACTTTTTGCCTGAGGGCTCTTCGAAATTCAAGAATTATTTATGAATGTTTGATAAAATTAGCCCTCTCAAAAGTGAAGACTAGATCAAGTACAATTTTTTTCTTCCGCTGGTTATTGGTTAACCTTAGAAATGAAATCCAGTTTGAACAAAAAACAACAAAAAAGCGTTTTTTTTGCACCATTTTCCTTTTTTGGTACAGGAGTGCGTCGATTACATTCCTTTTAGCAAATGATGATTCAATAAGTTTAAAAAACAAGAAATCTTGTATCAAGGCGACAAATGCTCTTTAACTTCTATGCAGTAGGGTTCGGTTTTAAAAAAATACGCAACTTAAAAATAAAAGGGGGCAGTTTCATTTTTTTTGCTTATCCTCATGCACAATATTTAAGAAACAAAGTGATATTTGTCCGATCCCAAGTTGGCATATTTTAAACCCCCATAACTTTGCAAAAGTTAACACAGGTAATTTCTTTTTAAATAGAGCTCTGGAGATCAATAGATCTTAGATGATATTTTCAAAAACATGTCAAATATGGCTAGTTAATGCGTCGAAAGTTGTCTGGAGAAAAGAAAACCAACCGAGCAAAAGTTTTTCATCACTCTATTTGAAGTCGGAACAACAATAGTCAAACCAAAAAAACAATTAAATGTGTACAATTTTTCCTGAAAACAACACACTACTTAAATAAATGTCTTCGCTTCGTTCATTGATATTTAAAGATTGCCAGTATGTTTGAGTCCAGTAATTTTACAACAGGACTCATTTGTGTCTTATCTAAGTTTCTAAAGTACTTTTGGCTGAGCGGAAGAATATTTGATAATCCCTGCAATAAGCATGTATCCAAATGTGTTTAAAAATTGCTAAAAATCTTTGAATAAATCTGATTAATTCTGATCAACATTAACGATCATGTTTTAGCCCACTTGAAATAATTTTGATAGCTGGGCGTTTTGAGATACTGATTTTAAAAAATCAATTACTAGTTTTGCTGTTCAATAGAGGAATTTTCAGCCCTAACTGTTGCTTTAAAGTGATCATTAATTTAAGGTACAAAACAAGAAAAATTGGTAGGTGAGAACATAGCTTACATAATGTTTTGATTTCAGCTGTTTAAGTTGAGAACACTAAAAAAAGAAATTTTTTTGATTTTTTTTCAATCTGGTTTGTTCTTTTGATGTTTTTGTCATTTCTTTTTTTTCAGATGCTATTTAAATGCTCTCAAATTAGGTAAAATACAGCAAAATTGTGTAAATGGATATTAAAACAACTTGCTAGCTTAAGACTGGGAGCGCAGTTTGATCCCTTCCTTCTTTAAGTAAGTGCCACACAGTGGAGAAGCGGAGCTTCGCATCACTTGCGATACAACGGAATCGTACCATTACAAGCTACTAAATGGTCAGTGAGATTGAAATGGTCAGTGAGATGGAAGTGGAAAATAAAATTGGAATGACTAAAATTGAGTCACAGAAAACCCGACGAGAAACACAACCACCACAAATAAGCAAATCATAAGTATTTTCACAGTGTCCAGTAAGCCAACAACACGTGGTTAGACGCCAATTGATCCGAAAATAAAAACACCAAAACAATTGGTTGTCATAAAAAATTCAACATAATTTGGGAAATACGAAAAATTCAATCGCAGAGAAACAGACGAAAAACACAAACATTACCACTAAGCAAGCTTTTATTATTTTCCGAGCGTTTATTAAGCCAAAAACATATGGTAAGACGCCAATTGAAACGAAAACAAAGTTACCAAAAAAAATTGTTAACATAAAAAAATCAACATATATTTGGAAACACGGAAAATTCAACCTCAGAAAAAAACAGAAAAGAAATGCAAAAACTGAAAATGAGCACGTTTCTACTATTTTCTGAGCGTCCATTAAGCCAGCAAAACGCAATAAGACGCCACTTGATCCGAAAACAAAAATATCAAACGAAACGTTTATCATGAAAAAATTTAAACGTTTTTTTGGAAATACGAAAAATTCAATCTCAGAAAAACAGACGAAAAATAATCACTAGTATTAAACAAGTTAAAATTTTTTTTTCGATTGTCCACTAGGCTTACAGGGCGTAGTTGGACGCTAACCGATTCAAAAACAAAAATTCCAAGGGAAATAGTTGTCATAGAAAATCAAAAAGAGAAACACAACAACTATTATTGAGCAAATTTTACTATTTTCTGAGCGTCCATTAAGCCACAACACTTGGTTAGGCGCTGATTGATCCGAAAACAGAAAAACACCGAAGGAAATGGTTTTGAATAAAAAAACTCCTCATTGTTTTAGAATTACAAAATCCAGTCTCAGAAAAACAGACGAGAAACACAACCATTAGCCTTAAACAAACTTTTGGTATTTTTCAAGTGTTCACTAAGCAAACAACACGTGGTAAATGGCCAATTAAACAAAAAACAAAATGTCAACGGAAACTGATGAAACAAAAAATTTTTGAGCGATTAAAATTTTGAACTTTTAACTTTTTCACTACCAGCTGACCTGATTTAATAAAAGCATGAATAATGATTTTTATCATTATAGCGATGCAAATTAAAGTCACAAAATCGCTTAATTAGACTAAAATTAATAAGCAAAAAAAACAGGGAAAAACGGCAAATATAACAATCAGGTATGGTTATTCTAAAAAACTACAGGAGTTAATCAACGGCACTTAATCAGGTATAGTAATTCCGATTAAAATTGACTAAAGCGCAAAAAAAAATTATAGGTGGCATCTAAGCCGACAAAACATATGTTGACAAACTAAAATCAGACTGATCAATTAATCCCGGAAAAAAGTTACGACACTGAAAAAAAAACAAGATCTGACCGGGACTCGAACTCCAGACGTTAGAGGTAACTGCATTACCTCCAGACCAAGTGCAATGAATTACCGTGTGATTTTTCATTTCATATGATTCAAAGGTAAATGATTCAAGTGATTTTGTTAAACTTGTTGTAAACCCGAAAGAAGTCTAGATACCGATTTGATAACGCTTTCTAATCGCAAGCATAAGAAACATTAAATATTAGACCTAAATATTTATTCAATACTGAAACAATTCATTTGTTTGATTTGTTTTTCAAATCAGAATTATCAGCAATGGGCCTTTAACATGATACCAATCTTGAACATATGCCAGCTTTCAAGAAATACCTAAAGTTCTTAGTTGTTTAGACAACGAAAAGAGAAAGAAACGTGCTTTTAGATGTGGCTTAACCCCCAAAAAATCAGCTACTATAATTAAACGTCAGAGGAATTAAAATGTTATTGATACAAAGAGGTTTCTTGACCTCAAAAACTCAGGTACTATAAAAAAAAGTACTACCAACCAAGTACTATAAACATTGCATGACAAACTAGCTGATAGAAAAAATGACAAAAAAAAATTAAGAGTTGCATTTGCATAGAAACAAAGCGAAATTAAAGCCGACAACTTTTGAGCACACACCCATAGAGCTAAAAAAGTGTTATCGTATCAAAATGCCCCTTCAAAAGACTCATACGCATAATAAACTTGTTTTGCTCCTCCAACCATGCAAAATGATGCCACTAAGCAGCTTGCGTGTAAATTTTAAGCAGAGTAAGCAAAAAAAAGAAAAATGAAAAAAAAAATAATAAAAAAAATGAAATTACACCGAACAGAAGTTGATAAATTTAAAAGCAACAAAAAATATATCATTTTTTTAAAATAAAAGTCAAATTCCGCAAATTTTTTTCACTCAGAAACCATTACCAATGGGGTTTTGGAAACTGCATTTAAATTTTTAGAAGAAAGCTTAACTTCTAGTAGGAAAAAGTCCGTGCTACGGGAACTAAACTAATTAAAGTAAACAGACGGACGATAGTCAAAATTAGCTTAAAGTTTCCAGATTAAGAAGAAAAATCGCTGCCGGATTCGAACAAAAACCTCGCAGGATAACGTTTTAGGCAGGTGTGCTATGTGGTTGGTTGATTTCGAGTTTAACATGAAGCAAAATCTAACAAATGCAAGATCTTGTAAGCAAAACTGTTTAGGGGTAGTAAAAAGTCTATTAGCCGGTTGCAACACCCTGGCTTAAGGTAATCGAAATTTTTTCAAATTTAATTCGGTCGATACTAGTAAAGTAAAAAGTTTTCTCAGTGTTTTCTCAGTTTTCTCAGTTTTCTCAGGAAATCGGTTTGAAATTTGAGACTTTTAGAGGAATTTAATATTGTTAAATTTTGAGTGCTAACAAAGCTAAATTTTCATTTTAATGCGCTGGTAAGGTTCTGTCTTTTTCACTTCTAAGGAAATTTAGAAATAAGTTGTTTCGACAATTTAAAAAATGGGGTTGATTTTCCTTTGTATTCGAATGTTTTCGTTTTTTTTGTTTTTCAAACAAAAAATAAGTTAACACAAACAATCATAGGAGAGAGTTGAAAGTTATATCATATAAAATCCCTTTCAGTCGAGATTTGAACGACTTAAAAGGCTTTGAAAATTTTTTCGCAGTGTCCAGAAAAACCAGTTTGAAATTTTTTTATTTTGGTCTTAATTTTGGACTTTAAAACTTAATTTTGAGCAAGTAAACCTAGTTTTTTGAGTTTTTTAGCTTTATTTTAGAAACCACAAACTTTGATAATTCCAAAATTTTCAGCAAATTTGCAGTTATTGAGGTTAATTTGCGGTTGATTTGCGAGTATGCCTATTTGCGGTTAACTTAGGCGGTTCACAGTAGCTTATTCATAATTAATTTTAATTTTAATCGATATAATTAGTTCTAGGAGATTTTTGATGCCATTTTGTGACGCCAATTCAAAAACCATTTTGATGCCAATTCAAAAACATTCTGAAAAAAAAATTTAAGACATTTTGAGTTTTTTCTAGTCATTTTCCTTCAAAAACTGCTGTCCTGTTTGCCTCTACTACTATGACTGTCAAAAATGCCTTAATTATACTTTTATGTCAGATCTTTTATCACACCACGTAGAAAGAACTACACTAATATTTTAAAAAAAATCGTATTTTTTTAGGACTATGATCGGAGCATTCTGCTATTTGCACAGTAACCGGCTATCCTTGTTCTTTTTCAAAAAAAAGTTGAGGTCGGAAAAATCTGTACTTAGATTTTTTCATGAAGCCACTGAAGCTTCACTTGATTTTCAGGTTCTATTCAAACCTACATATTCGACCAATTCAATTTTTTCCCAATTCAAAAAAACTTGAAATTGATGCCGCTACCATTCTTTCGAGTCCTTAAAATCTACTCTAAATGAAGAAGAGAGAATGAAACGAGCATGTTTTCAAAAGCAACATTTTTTTGATAGTTGGTTAAATTGAACGCATAGCCAAAAGATGCTGAATAAAAAGCACTTTCCGAAATTATCAGAACTTTCAGGAACGGATGTTTGAAACAATTTCTCCTGAGCGTCGAGAAAAATTGGTCAAAACTTTTTGCTATTGAGATTAGTTTAGGCTGTGGGAGCGGATGAAAAGTCCTACCCGTCTACTCTCACCATATTTCTAGTAAATTTATTAATATTTCACAGATAATCAAGATAAACAGGACAAAAAAGCCGGATATAAGCGCACAGCTGTGCCTGGAAGCCGGATATAAGCGCACAGCTTGCTATTCATTACTCAAAATAGTTTTTAAATTTCAAAATACGAGAAAGTTAAGAGACCTGACGTGCTAAAAATGTGTTCTGCGGAAACAAATAAATGCAGTCTCAATTTCATCTAACCTGCTGGAGGTGAAAGAGATAAGGGAGGAAGACCCAATTGTAATGATATGCAATAAGAAAAGAAAGAGTGTTAGTTTATTCTACACAACCCTAAGCAAACAATAGTTGAGGTGCACGCATGGTACAGTGGTACTACAGAGTTATTCTGATCTGAGGTGCGATTTATGAAGGACTAGAAGCCAGCGAGTAGAGCTAACTGGCAAAGTCTTCTTCTCTTATTCTCCTAGCAACTTCGATCAAAGAGAGAAGGGAGAAGGTATTAAATACTAGCGTGAACAGACTTCTACCCGCAGCTTCAACAAGTCCCACGGGGCAAATTTCTAAGAGACTTCACGAGCAGTGAAGTAAAAGGAGGCCCCAAGTTAGGACAGGTTAATTTGGGCTATGGCGTTGAGTGGTAAGAAATTACAGAGCAAATGAAACTGAAGAGAAAGAGAGAGAGAGAGAGATTTAGAATAACGGGTCAATGTTATTGAGACGGAATTGTATTTTCGGAGCCAAATGTGTATTGGGAATAACTAAATGCACTTTGACAGTAAATGTTGTGTGGTGTGTGTTATTGAATTTGGGCACGCTTATTTCAAACAACAGCCGATTTGCCCAAACAGACACAAACTGCAGCAGTAGCAGGAGAATAATGGCACAAAGCAAGCACGCGCAGTTGAGGAAATAAATGCTGAGAATAACAGCAGAGAACAGAGAAAGAATGAATGAATGAATTCTGCATGCGGGAACAGAAGCCCACAGCGGAAATTATTATAATGGTAAGTGAAGTGCAGTTCAATGTGATCCCCCTTTCTCTCTTTGTGCAACTGGAACAAGCGGGGACGCTTAAACTGCAGAAAAGGAGGAGGAGGAAATTAAGGCTGCAACAATTCAGCACGAGTATAATTAGAAACTGACAGGTCTGCCCTGCTTCCAACTGACAACCATCCACTCCCAAAAGGGATATTACCATAATTGAGGGAGAGGTGGGAGGGGGGAGGGGTTGAAAAACTGAAAATTAATAGACAAATGATTCACCACGGTACTATTTTTGTTCGGTTTTCCAATTACGGACCACGTCGATCACAGATGTCAGGTTTCTGAATTAAGTACCCACTCCCAATTTCTTTTGATATGCGTTGGTCAACTAGATGACCTCTTGGAATAAATTGGTGCAACCGAAATTTCATATTGCCCACTGCAGATCAACATACACTCTCAAATGCTCCCAATCCCCAAAACTGACACGCATGCAATGTTTTTGCTAGTTTCTAGACATACTTAGTTTAATACATTACTCATTTTGAGCAAAAAGTTGCAACAAAACTATTTATTTTGATATTCATGTTAGCGAGTAATTTAATCGCGGGAGAGCTAACACGGCTTTGCTTTGCTATTTCATACGCCAGTGGGGCATTGAACCTCTCGGCGTCTTCAGTGGAATCCATGTTTGAGAAACAGTAGGAGAATTATCGCTCAATTAAATCTTGAACTACATAAAAAATGTGTAAATACTTTCATAACTCAAGAAATTGCTTTATTCAACAGAATATAATCAGAAAAAAAAATTACGCTAGCAACTGGCTGGTTAAAAAATTATATAATTTGAGACGAGGTTACAGTATGATAGTTGGGTCTCTACAATTGAAGAAGAATTTTTTATGCTTCAAATATTCTGACACTAAGTGATCAATTGATTGTCTAATTGAAACTATCATACTTGGAAGTACCTTGCTTTTTTCAGGGATAACTAGCATGCTTTGTCGCTTGCTCTGCAAAGAAACTTCTTAAACAGTCAGAGAAAATTCCTAACAAAGCTGGAAATTTTAAAGCCGTTTTTTCCAGTTTGGGTTACTTGTGGAAAAAAAGTGACGAGGGCAAAACTGTGTAAAAGTTAAACAGAGTGACCTATATATTCTCAATTTTAGAGTTATAAATTCAGATACTGTCTTAAAATCAGATACTAGAATTTTTTCCTCGAAATAACGTTGTTACCAATTTGAGCACGTGTTCATTCCAGTACGATACAGCCTTATTGCAACAATTTTACCTACTCCTTTTTTGATTTTAGAGCAATCAGGAGTTAATAAAGCTAGTTTATCTCGCAACTGGTTATGAACTTTGTTAGTCTCAAAATTTTGCAGTACTTTTTGACTAAACCGACTTTTTAGATAAATTTTTAGGATTGAATTCGTTGAGAAATAATCAATATCACGAAACTTCAACACAAAAGCGAACGTGCGTTTCGCAAACACTAGCGAGAACACTAAACACTAGAAAGTGTATCAACATCAGAAAACTTCAACACAGAGGCGATGTAGAAATAAGCCTCGAATTAGTAAAATCTCGGCTAAGACTCGGATTCGAACCTGAAACCTAGAGATTATGAGTCTCACACACTAACCACCAAGCCACAGACGCTTAATAAATCCCAAACAGAAGCCACAAATAAATCAGAGAGCAGATGCTATGCAATTTCCACAGCTACAGTGATACTTCCATTTATGTGCACACTTTTAACGAACACTTTTATTGGAGAACTAGCTTAGAAAAAAAAGGTGTGTACTAATACACAAACGCTTGCAAGCTTGCTAGTGTAAATGAAGCAAGGAAAAGCGGAGCTTCGCAACCATTCAGATACAACGATAACATTGCATTACAAGATGGTGAATGGAAGACGAAAGTACTAACTACATCTACAAAAATTTCTAACATTTGTTTCGGGTGATTTTCAAAATAGGCTTAAAAACTCTGAGAATCATTTACCGGGCGAGCACAAGCCGACAAAACTTGAACAGACCCCATTAAAATGAAAACTGATGTCAAAAGTTTATGCGAATTTTGTAATTCAATTTTTTTACATATCCCTCTTGAAACACGTAAAAGCAACGCAAACAACGCAAAATGAAGTGACTGAAACGATACTAGCCGTAACCTTTTCATTTAAAAAAATGATAAAAAACATACAATGTGTCGGAATCGAACCCTGAACTCGAGATTAAGAATCAGACGTACTAGAATCTGCGCCACGACCGTTTAATAATAGCTAAATACTAGCAATCAAAAAACCGGATACAAAAATATAATGATATGCAGCAAAGTAAACCATATATTATGGTTTTGCAAACGTGCCAATAAATAAATTAGAACTTTCAATTGCCACTTGTGGCGGAAAAAAGCCGAGTTCGTAATGTGACTCTACGTTCCGTGTATGAATCAGCGTTCGTAAATTTACAAATTACCGAGCAATTTCCTCTTACGGCAGAAAACTATCAAAATCAGAACCTAGGCATTATAGAGTTTACCGATAAAAACCGTACCAGACAATAAAATTAACAAAATAAAACAAACGAAAAATAAGCAGACAAAAATTAGGACAACCACAAACTGGAAACAGTCAACAGACAGTGCGAAAACACTTCGAACTTCAAATTTAAAAACATAGCCTTAAAGCCTTGTGAATTTGATGAGCATTGCTGATTGCCGCTTCATGATAAAAAATAACCCAATTTGAAAAAACTGAATCAATAGGTAATTTTTCTATTCCCTTGGGAAATCTGATATTTAAATTCCTTTTCGAAATTAGAGAACGATCACGTTTTTCGTGAACTTATCTTTCTCCTGTTAGATAGTGGATGGAGTTTATCGGCCTTTTAACAAAGGTAGTAAACTAAACACAAAAAATGCTAAGTCAAACCGCAAAATAAAGCTATCGAAATAAAAGTTGTCAACCAACTTTTAACTGAATCTCAAAAAAGGATACACCGCTCAGCTCCCCTATTTGTTGATGATCATTAGAATTTTATACAGGCTGCCTGGTTTGGTATTTATTGTGAGATGAATGAAAAAACTATGGTTTATATATTGAACTTTTGAAAAATTAAGCAAAAATCAGGAAAATCATTTAGTTTCCGCATTCATTTCTATGGATAGCTTGCTTTTAATTTCATTCAACTAGAAGTTAAGAAAGAATTTGGCGGTTTTTTATTTTTTTTTTGAAAAATTAGTCTTCGAAACCCATCTTTACTGGAAACTGAAAAAATGAACTGATTTAATGCAACTCGAAAAAGTTTTTCATAACAAAACACCGAACTTTTGATTTCGGTTCGCTACCCATTGGCAGCACTACCTCCTAATAACTCACACTTCAGCTAAGGAAAAAACTTTTTGAATTTCAAATTCAGTATACGACAAATGATCGGCAAGATGCAACAAATCAACTGCTCCAAAACATTTGATCTATTCTGACAAATGACGACAAGGGAAAGAAATGGCAAATATATAAAATTACAACAAAAGATCAACATTGGAATATTCGAGTACTGATTAAACTACGATTAAAAATACACAAATTGATTATGAACTGATAAGAACATATATGGAAGAAAAGAAACCAAACGGCAAAAAGCTAAATACTCTATAATGTAAAGGCACCAAAATTTGATTAACTGATGACTGATAATTTACAACATTAATGATTAACAACATAAATAAGTCGAATTGGACATTAACAGAATAGCTTCAATTTTAGCAATTACTCAATGTTCATTTTTAGTTTCAAGTGCAGGAGTGTAGCGAGAACACTAGATTGTCGATAAAAACCTCTCCGCAACTTTCACATCGATGTTTTGGCCTCTTTCCGATGACAGCTACTGCGTTTGGCTGCTCCGCCTGATTCGATCGCTTATCACTCTTCTCAACAGCTGAAGAATTTGTAGTATTCTGAACTGATACTGTAGGTGAATGGTCTTCGTCATTATTTCCACTCTTGTTTTTGACTCCTGATCTCCCCGAGGGAGTAGCGGAGGAGGAGGAAGGGGACACTTCGACAAGCAGGGAGGAGAGGGAGGTCGGCAGTAAACAGCCGCTGGGCGAACAAGACTGCGAGTTGCTCATGGTCTGGCCCACACCACCTCCACCTAGAACAAGAAAGAACAACTTCGTTTTCACTTCACCACAAACGAAAAAAAAATTAAAACAAAGCAAGGATAGCCGGGTGTTTGTATTCGGGTGTTTTAGTTTTGTTATCCCCGCAAAATCAGCTACCACAAATAACCATCGGAGAGAGTTGAGTAGTATATCACATTGAAGCCCGTTCAATCATGATTCGAACGACATTAAAAAAATTCTCCCAGTGTCGAGAAACACTGGTTTAAAACTTTTTATTTTTAGTTCAATTTCGAGCAAAAAATGAGATCGAGTAACGCTCGTTAAATGGAAATCATTTAGAAAAAAAATTTTAGGCTCATAAAACTTGAATTTACTATCACGAAAACTAGTTTTGGATGTTTCTTCTAGCGCTTATTTGACAATAAAGATTTTCCCAAAAAATCATAAAACTATTGTACAAAAAATAAGAAATTTGAAAAATTTTTATTGATTTTCATTTTTTGTCTGGTATTCATTTTTTGCAAACAAATGTTGTCGATCATGCCTAATTCTCTAAGCGATCGTATAGTTCTAGAATCACACCACCCACTAAAATATAGCCAATCGAAGATTGGAAAAGAGTAATGAACGCAAGTAAACATTAAAAAACACTGACTTTGTTGAAAAATCTTGAGAAAACTTGATCAATAAGTTTTATTCCGCTGGAAATCTATAATTTAAATTCTACTTTCGAAACTAGAAATTGTTCACGTTTTTTTGCACCGTTTCCACGTTCGTATTTGGAGAGTGCTATTTACGTCACTTTCAGCAGATGAATTTCAATTGTACTCAAAAAGTGCATATATACCTAAGTGCATTCATAATTGCATCAATATGTATGAACGCACATCTGTAGTTATTAGAGACTTTTATGCACATGTTAAGTCTTTTTACTGAGAAAAAAACAAAAATCAGCAAGACCGATACAAGAGTCTTCACTACGTTAATTACTCTTGTAAGTAAATTTGAGTTTTCATAAAAATGAGCATGTCAGCAGCATCGTAAGTGATTCAACAGACTTTGTTAAACTAGTTGTTAACCCGAAAAAAGTCTATAATCCGATTTGATAACGCTTGCTAACTGCAAGCTTAAAAAATTTCGTGAAAAAAAAACTCATCGCAACCCACATAAGAGTCTGAACTACGTTCATCTACTCTTAAATAAACATGAACGCAAGGAAAAAGAAAAAAATACTGACTTATTACTTTTGAAAAAATCCGAATTTCGAACTTAAAAGAAAAGAACAGATGCCCTTAAAACTCTTTGAATTTCAAGAACAATTAATGAATGACACTTTTTTTGATCAAATTAACCAAATTTGAGAAAACTGGATCAATAGTTGAATTTTTCATGCCGCTGGGAAATCTGAAAATTGAATTCCATTCGAAATTAGAAGTCGCTCACGTTTTTTTTACCTTTGCACTTATGCTTTTCGAAAGTGGAATTTGCTTTCCTTTCAACAAAGGAAATGAGGTGAAGTTAGAAATAAACCAAAAGTCAAACCGCGGAAAATTTGAGCGTGAACAAATATGAAGACTTTTTCCTGAAAAAAGAAATCATCACGACCGATATAAGATTATTCCCTACGTTCATGGACTCTTAATCACTCTACCCATTCTAATACTTATTTGTGGAATATGATTTTAACATTGGAAAAAGCTTTTTAAAAAATCAACACGTTTCGTAAGACAAAATTCTTCCCCACTATAGGTAGTGCTCGGAACAACTGCGTCAGAAAAACTCATCTTATCAAATAGAAAAACTCACTTATCAAATAATGCCATCAATTTTAGTTGAAATTTCAATTTGTTACTCAATGACTTGACTAGAGCTTCCACTAATTTAACATTCATAACCTGAATTGCTTTTTGTCTCAAACTCTTCTTTAGCACATGCAGGCGACATCACCGGAGTCACATCTGATAAATCAGCTGGAAAGCTGGGCGGTTCAGGAATCAGTTCGGGTAACTGATGGTACTTCATTGGAACTGACGGGGGACTAGATCCCCCCATTGCAGAAACCTCGAAGAAGCCGCTCTCGTTTTCGCTCTCCTTCTCAACTGTGTGTTCTTCTTTCTTGTCCGTTGTAGATACGATACTGCACGTTGATTGGTCAGTGATTATGGGGGGACTTGTTTGTCTCAGTGGGGGAGCAGCAGGTGGTTTGGAGACATTGTTGGCACATTTCTGCGGAAGTCCACTAATGCTCCCGCTCAACACTTTCTACACCCAACAATAAACTTCACTCTCAGACGTCATTTAAATATCACCCTCGTCTGTCTGAGAAAACCAATAGATACTTAAATTATTGCGTGAAATTATACATAAACTCAGAGGCGAAGATGCACTTCGCCAACACAAGCGAGAAAACGGCACAAATCAGGTCTAAAAAGACATAGAAAAAATGAAATAAAGAAAAAGCTAAATAATCCACGAAAAAACAAAATTTTGTCATGTGCCGGAATTGAACCGCCTACCTGGAGATTACGAGTCTCGCCTCCTCGCATCAACGCCATGCTCGCTTGAAAAATGCAAACAGTAGCTACCAATAATGCTGATAAAACATGCTATTAAATTGCCAATGCAATGCAGGAAAAGTGCCAATTGAGTACTTTATTTGCGAGCTGGGCTAGGAAAGGATTTGTAAAACCACACTACCCTAATTTGTGTAATGAATAACCTAGCTATACAATTTACTTGCTTCACAAGAATATCACGCCAGTAATATTGCTCTTCAAATACACCTTAGCTCTTTTTTTACTAACACATTTCTCCGTTCAAGATCTAGAACATAGCCAACTAACAGTTGGAAAAGAGTAATGAACTCAAGGAAAACTGAAAAAAAACTTACTTGTTTTTTCAAGAGCCTTCAACTTTTGAATTTCAAAAAAAGGCCTTAAAGCTCTTTGAATTTGTCGAACAATTTATGATGAACACTTTTTTGATAAAATCAACCCAATTTGAGAAAACTCGATCAATAGGTAAAACTTTTATTTCGCTGGGAAATCTGATTATTTTCCATTTTCGAAATCAGAAGTCGATCACGTTTTTCGAGACTTTCACACTTTCGATGTTCGATAGTGGAGTTTGCCTTCCTTTTAACAATGAAAATGCACTGAACTTAACAAGAAATCACAAGTCAAACCGCGAAAAATTAACACTGAGCGTGAACAAATTTTAAGATTTTATCCTGAAAAAAAACTATCAGCAAGACGTACGTTAATTACTCTTAATTACCTCGACATCCTTGGCTGTGAATCCGGCCACGAGCAGTGCGATCTCGACGTCTCTCTGGTGAGTCTCACAGCATCTGACCAAGTGTCTCTTCAACTTATCCCGTCTGGATAGAGTGCGGTTGCACAAGTGACAGGTCAGCCTGTCCACCCCACTCGATGTCTGCTGTCCTCCATTCTGACTCTGACCTCCAGTTTTGATGTTGTTGTTGTTGTTGCTCTCACTCGAGAGGAGAGACAGACCATTTGCACTGGATGACACAGTTGTAGTGCCTGTGAGGAAAAATCACAAAAACATCATCACTTCTCACTCCCGTTACACTAAAGACACCTGTTAAGTATACTGCTACGCATGCAAGTTATTTTTTCAGTTTGATATTGCAACACTAAGACATGCAAGCCATGCTATGATCCACGTTAAATCCTATTCAAAGTAACAACAAAGTCTAATTTCTTCAAGCTTCACGTTTTACGGTGGATGATAAAGACGTCCACCAATTTTTGCGCAGCCGGTCCCACATTGAGGAGGCGGATGACACTGGGACCCCTCCAACCGTCACCGAAGCGGGATTCGAACACGAGACCGTTGTGTTTAGAGTCCAAGTGTCTTACTCACTCAGCCAATTTACCTGATGATGTGCTGGATGAGGAGAGTGAAAGATCAGTTGGGAGAGGCAATAGAGGATCTTTTGGACCAACTGGGACCCCCTTTTTGTTGTCAGTGCCTGACTGTGAGGAGCCAAAACCAAGCGTGGTTTTCAGACTACACGTGCTCTCATGCAATTCCAGACTAGCTCTGGAGGTGAAGCGTCTGCTGCAGAATTGACACTTGGCCGCACAGTTGCTGCCCAACACTACATTCTGTGCAACACATCACAAACGTCACATCACAACACATGCACATGTTAAGCTAACACCACTACGGATAGATTACAAAGACAATGCACAAGGCAAACAAACATGCTGTTTAGCAGGCGGGAAAACAAATGAACAATTTTTCTCGACACTAGAGAAATTTTTCTTTCAAACTCTTTGTGAAATCCAAATCACGACTAAAAGGGCTTCATATTGTGACATATTTACACCGCCTTTTAGCTAACTGAAATTTCTCAAAAAAATACTACATCAGAATTACTACTCCGTGATTGAATGGAGCAATAACAGTACTGTAAAAGTCAAGTTTGAGTGCTGAGAGCGAACCAAATTAGTTTTGGGAAACGATGTTATTATCTTTCAGTTTATATAAAAAAAAACAAATAAAAACCGGCTGTTCTCTCATTGGTCAAAGGACACCACGAGACTTTAATAGTAGTTTCATGTAAGCTGTGTTGATTTGTTACCTTAGCGATAGCGTGTGCGAATCCGGCCACTAAGAGTTGGTCATATAGGTCCACGTGGAACCTCGGACAGCAAATGGCCAGATGCCACTTCAGTTTGTCCCTTCTGGAGAGCACTTTTTGGCACAGATGACATTTGGTTCCCGGTCCAGTTCCCGCCGCCGTCGCCCCATTCAACTGGGGAAAGGTACTCCCACTGGATCCAGACGTAGAAGTGTTTACTGCATGCTTCCCGTTCTTCTCAGAAGGGAGCTTCTCCATTCTCAGTGGTTTACTGCCTTGTATGCCCATTACATGGGCTTTTTCTGACGACTTCACGGCTAACGCGGTTGCCTCATTCTGTTTACCGAGACTGTTCGGACGCGAAGGAGGAGGTGACATTTTGATCACTGCGGTTGACTGCGGGTTCTGAAAGATAATATATTCAGCGCAAAAAAATAAAGACAGAGTAGGACAGAATGTTCCGACCATAGTCTTTAAAAAGGACAAAAAAGATTAGTGTTTTTTTGCGTGGTGTGATAAAAAGATTTGACGTAAAACTGTAATTTAGGCATAATCGACAGTCATAGTAATATAGACAAATTGGCAAAAAATTTTGTAGAAAAAAATGATTTAAAACAAACAAAAAAATCAACACGGCGCTAAAACATTCCAAAAACGAAATTTACCTGCTTAAAACTAAGTTTTCAGGGCTTAAATTAAGCATTACTAAGCTGTTGTAAGCATGCTGACTCGCTTCGCTTGCTCTAAATTGAAATAAGACTCAAAAATTTCAAACCTGTTTTTCTAAGGGAAATTTTTTTGAAAATTCTTAAATGTTCAAATCACGGCTGAAAGGGCTTTAATATGCTATATCACTCGACCCATTCGTATCATTATTTGTGGTACCTGATTTTGTGTGGAAAACAAAAAAGAAAAAAACACCCGAATACAAAGTTCCTCCACATTTTTCAAATGGTCGGAACAATTTACTCCCACACAAACACACCAATTGAATCATCATTATCGCAGTAACTTTGTGCTCTCTTTCTTGTATTCTCAAAAGTGCGAGTGTGACGATTGCTTGTGACGAGAACATTGTCCACAATCTTCTTAACGAATCCTTGAAATTCCCTGGCTCTCATAGTGAGCTCAGATTTCTGATTTTCATGGTCAGTTTAATGAAAATGAAATGGAATTAGCATGTCGTTACACAAAAGTTTTCATGTATGATGAACAAATTACGATTTCTAAAATGAATGCATTAGACAGACAACGTATATTAATTACATTCAAACTACACCCCATTTGACCGAGTTGAACTGAAAACTAACTTGGCTGTGAGCGTGTGATGTTCTGCCGGCGTGGACAGAATATGCTGCGGCGGAAGTGTTGTTCGAAGAGGGTCTCTTGGGAGGTCCATTCACAATGCTCTCAATGGCCGGGTTCATCCCACCCCCTGCTCCTGTCCCCAGAGCGGTGATACAGGTGCTGTTGATACAATTGGCACCTGATGGAACTATGCCCCCTTGATGGTGTGCTGCTTCTCTGTGCTTGACCAGATGTTCTTTGGAGATGAACACCAACTGGCAGGTATGACATGCAATGTTGTTCTGCACTCGACACTCCACTCCGTGGCCGTCTATGTGGTGCAACAATCGCATGTCACTTGCACACCTCAAATGAAATGAAACAAAGCCTCTCATCTGCATACTTAATGCTGAACTGAAATGTCTGCAAAATCAGTGACCCTTGCGCAAATTAATCCGTTAAAAACTCTTGCGTTTTACGTCAAATGTAAAAATATGAAACAAAACTGCGACGTCAAACTTAGCAGAAGCATAAAAGATAATTGTCTACTATTTCGGCAGTTGCGCTTTACAAGACAATAATATAGTTCAATAATTTCAAAGAAACGAATTAGAAAATGGAGTTTAAATAACATAATCAGAGGGCAAGCAGCAAATAATTGATTGCTGCGATATGGGATATTGGTGTATTTGCAATATCGAATATTGGTGTATGGTTGCACTTCCTACACAAACCTTTAACCCCTTTTTTATTCAAAAAAATTATTCGATTGATTTTTTTCAAAAGAAAATATGAAAGCATTCGACAAGTTTTTAACAGTCCACCAGCAGCAAGTGTATGAACTCTTCAAAATTGTCATGCGATCAATAGCGGACTACATTCTGAAACTTTTTAAATGAGCTTTTTGTATTTGAATAACCGTCGTACATGACCAGAAGGTCAACTTTCAATTTAACTAGCGTGTACCGCAACTCCGGTGCTTCGAATTTTCAACAACTCGAAAAAACTATTGTTTGAGTGTACTCTGACAGCACCCAATTACAGGGTTCGTTGGGAAAAGCAAATTTTGAGAAACTTCACCTTAAGTTTTCTAAAAGAAGTATTTTTTTGAAAACCAGAAAAAATTCATATTTCAAAAACTACCAAAATTTGAGCAGTCTTTTTTGATGGCCATACAGAACTACAGGGTTGGGAATTTCACTTAAACGAATTATTTTGTAATTTGAGTTTTCTGAAAATTTTCAAAAAAATCACAAAAATCGTCTAATCTCTTAAACAAAAATTATTTGAGCATTCTTAATTAGAGGCCGAATTTGCAACCCCTGAGATAACTCTGACAGCCCAACAACTACAGGTTAGGAAATTCAAACTTTGGAAAAAAAATTAATTTAATTTTCTTGAAATTTTTTTTGAAAAAATCAAAAAAATCGTCATATCTGGAAAACTGCAAGATTTTGAGCAGTCCTTTTCAGAGGCAAGTTTCGCAACCCCTTCAGAGTACCCTCAAAGATTCCAATGACAGGATTGATATCTTCGAAGCTGAGGAATTTTAACATTTAAGTTTTTTTTTGAAAATTTCGGAGAAAATCATAAAAAACGTCATATCTCGAAAACTAAAAAGATTTGAGCAGTCATTTTCAGAGGCAAGATTCGCAACCCCCTGAGATTACCATCACAGATTCCAATATCAGGATTGAGATCTTCAAAGTTTTGGAATTTTTTAATATTTAAGTTTTTCTGAAAATTTCGGAGAAAACCATAAAAAACGTCATATCTCGAAAACTACAAAGATTTGCGCAGTCATTTTTGGCGGCAAAATTCGCAACTCCTGAGAGTACCCTGACAGAGCTTCACTACAACGATGGTAATTTCAAGCTTCGTGAAATTTTTTATATCTATTTTTTCTGAAAAATTTTGAAAAAATCCGAAAAAAGTCATATCTCGAAAACTACTAAGATTTGAGAAGTGAAAAATGGAGGCAAGATTCGCAACCACTGAGAGTACCCTGACAGCACCCAACTACAGGTTGAGAATTTCAAAAATTGAAAACAATTTTTAAAATAAACTTTCTAGAAATTTTTTGAAAAACCTCCAAAATTGCCTATCTCGTTTAACTAAAAGGATTTGGTTATTAATATATGGAGGCCAGAATCGCAAAACCTGGGAAAACTCTGACAATATCCTACTATTGGGTTGCTATTTTCAAATTTGATGAAATAAACCCTGAATTTAAACTGGAAAATCGAAAAAAACTTTAACCATTGCAATATGCGATATAGCTTAAACTTGAAAAAATTCATTTGTTAAGCATGCAAAAATAATACGTTGAAAAGGCTTAAGCATGACGAGAAAGTGAAGCCCGCATTTAAATATATAATAGATAAAAGATGAAAATTAAAAAATTAGGCGACTGGTAGACAGACATAGTCAAATTAATTATTAAAAAAGCTTAATTTGGCCTCGAAAAAAATACTGAAAAATTGCGAAAAACCAATTGAAAAATTTTCTTAAGCATTGCAATATATGATATAGCTTAAACATGAAAAAATTATTTCGTTAAACATGCAAAATTATTATGCTTAAAAATGGGAGATAGCTGTAACTCGCATTTAAATATAGTATAGATAGATGAAAATTCCTAATTTCAAAAACAAAATTCAAAAAGCTTCAATTAGATACATAGGAGATGCAAGGATAATGCCGGAGAACGACAGATGTGAAGTGCCTGCATGTTTCAAGTTTTTTTTTATTATAATTTAAAATGGTTTTCAAAGCGTCTTCGGTGTTTTGAAAACCACACTTGGGCTTGTTCGCTGGTTCTGCAATACTTAAAACTTTAATATTTTTTTCCAATGATTTATTTTATGTTTTCATATATAAAAATATATTTTTTTCCTTTTCTTTGAAGATCTCAAATTTCGCATTTGGTTTGATAAAACGGACAATGCTCTGTAACCCAATGAGGGGTTCGTTAACTGTCCCTTCACTGTTTCTGGTGCTTCATGTTTAAATTCTCGTTGTATGCATATTTACCATTAACAATGAGAAATAAATTCTTTCTTTCTTTTATTGTATCGTTTTATGTGAAAAACACCAGTTGACAGAGGCGAAACTTCGCTTCGCAAAACCTTGCGAGAACACGACAAAAAGCAGCTCAATGAAGTGCAATAAGAACAGTAGAAACAAGCCTCGAATTAGTATGAATCTGAATGATGAAAGTATGTTATGAAAATCACCCTGTATAAGTCCACATGAAATGCGGCTAAGTCTCGGATTCGATCTAGGACCTAGTGTAAACAACAAAACAGATCAGATCAGAAGAGGTACCTGAGTCCGCAGATGAAGCAGACGTAGGGTGCTGTGAGAAAGTGCAGTCTCTGGTGTGCCTTCTGTGCACACTCATTCGTGATTGGCAACACACACTTCTTGCACTGCAGCATCTGCAGGGAGGAAGAGGAGGAAGAAAGGGACTGCTTAGAAGCAGAGCTCTTCGCTTTCCTCCTCACGTGGTAGAACAGGGCCGAACTGGTGGTGTAGGCTGCCCCACAATCCACACACCGCTCCAGATTGTCACCATTCACCTGCAAATGCCAACCAAATTGAACATACGCACAATTTGAACAAACAAGTACGTACACAGCTGCAATTCAAATCTTCCCAACCCTCTTATTATGATCCTCGAGACAGATGAATTTTACAATTAAAATAACCGACAGACAATTGGTTTTTTCATCAAGCAAGTTATTGACCAAAAACACTTTGAAAAATTTTAAGATATTTTCAATAGCTTAAATCGATTCGCGGAAAATTGGCTTGTACAATTTTTTTCTAGAATCGGGTCGAGCAAGCTTCTAACCAATAAAACTTTGAAACTTTTCAAAAGTTTTTCATATCTTGAATCGATTCGCAAAAAGTTAGTTTTTCTGACAAGCAGGTTATTGACCGATGAAATTTTGAAACCGTTCAAAGATTTTTCATCGCTTGAATGGGCCCGCAAAAGGCTAAATTTTTTCATGCTAATTATTGACCGATAAAACTAAAAAACACTACCAAAAGTTGTTTTCATAATTTGAATCGATTCACTCAAAATTGTTTATCAAGCAAGTTATCGACCGATAAAACCTAAATACATTTCAAGTTGTTTTCCTTCGCTTCGATTGGTTCGCAAAAGCTAGTTTTTCTATCAAGCCAGCAATTGGTCAATAGAATTTTGAAGCATTCCAACTGGTTATTTAAGGTTGAATCAATTCAAAATAAACTAACTTTTTTAAGCAAATTTCTGAGCAATTAAAAGCGATTTCAAGTGGATTTTAATACGCTGAAGCGGTTTATAAAAAATGCAAAGTTTTTCTAAGCTAGCTGTTCAAGTGATGAAACTTTGAAAAAATTCAAATCATTTCGATAGCGTAAAATGATTTGCATAATTTTAAAGACAAGCTGAAATAGTTGAAGATAATTTGATAGCTTGAAAAATTTTGCAAAGTTTTAAACTTTCAAAGTCTAAGATAAAAAAAAACAGATTGAGGTTGTTAATTGCTACATTTCAGACAGAAATGAATCTACCCGAGTAATATTTCGGACAAAGAGTAGACAGGTTTTGTCAAGCCTCGAAGTTCAATTGAGTTCATCTTATCTAAAGTGTCGACTTTAAGCGAAACCAAGTCTTGACAACAAGGCGAAGCTGAGCTTTGGAAACACTTGCGAGACAAAGTCAAAAAGCGCTATAAAAAGTAGAAATAAACTCAGATTTGGAACCTCACGTCCTTCGATCTAAGCAACGGTCGCTTACTGATAGGCACACACTAGCCACATATAAAGCAGAGAACAGATGCTATGAATTTAAAAAGAAACCAAAAGTCAAACCTCAAAAAAAAATTGAGTCTATTTTAAGACTTTTCCTGTCAAACGACCAAAAATGATCACGACTTCTATAAGCGTCTGAACTCCGTTCATCTACCTGTAATAAGATAAGATTTTAGAATGTCAACAGAAACCAAGTGTAGATTTGAACAGACAAAGTAAAAGCATTTTTTCTTAATCATACTTTAAAAATCACAAACATCGCAAGATAAAACGGTTAACAAAATGTAGCAACCAAAATCAGCACCTTTCAATGCTTTGCGATCCTTCTGAAATGAGAAAATAGAAAACTCTAGAATACTAATTTTGAGATCTACAAGAAAATGCGGACAAAACTCAAGTTCACATTTATTTTCAGAAAAACAACAGTCAGTTTATGAGCTATCAAACAAACTGTTTTAGCGAACTTTTTAAGCAGAATAGCGTTTTAAATTCGAAGCGTTTTAAGCAGAATAACGTAAAATAAATGAAAAAAAAATGAAAAAAACTGAAGCAAGTAAATTTACATCAATTAAAAAAACCGATTTCGAATAGAATGATATTTACTACTCAAACACCCTTAAAATATGTGTTATCGACATTGTACAAATCACAAATTTGAAAAAAATGATTCAGTGATTATGTTTGACAAGTTGTTGGCCGGTAAAAAATTTATGTTGCGTTCACCGAAACACAATCGTAATCAAATTTGGCTCTTTCCCACCTTTCAATTTCATTCTCGAAAAAAAATCTTTTACGTTGTCATAATCCAATCAAACTTCGCACGGTGAACAAACCAACAATTGTTAGTAGATTTGTGTTTCACTTTTACGCGTATAGCCATAATAACACGTAAGACACTTACAAAAATAGACAATTTGAATAGAGGGGAAAGTGAAAAAGAGCCATATTTTGCACTAAAAAGTGCTACTAAGAAACAAATAGATAAGGGCATAACTTTACCACACAGAGGCAAAGTGGAGCTTCGCACCACCTGCGATACAACACAAACATAAAAAGTAAAAATTTCTCCATTGAACACAACCTGACAAATGGTTTGGTCGCTTTCGCGTAAAGTCAAAAAGTTTCCAAAAAACTGTGTAAGTTTCAAAACTTTGACTTGTTTGAAGGGCATAACTTTTTTTATTAGACAAGCTGGGCATGGCCAATTATAAACGTAGGCTTTCAACGACATATTGTTTCGATTTAACCAATAATTTAGCAGAATAGCTAGCGATAAAAGTCTAAGAAAAACGGTCAACAAAACGGAGAATAGTCCAAAAAACGACCAACATTTTAAAAATGTCATTCCCGTAACCATAGTTTTTTTGTAGGAAAAACAGAGCTGAGCCGCTCATGCAGAAGGAATTTCAGTAACCTATAATTTTGACTGAACCCAAAATTTCAGATTTGTGAGGGTAGTTTTCGATTTAAAAAAAACCACCAAAAACTTTAAAAAAAAACGATCAAAAAATCAAAATTCCCGAGGGCCATAAAAATCAGAGTCCGAAAAATTGAGCCGTGGTCGCGTAATCAAATCAGCTACCCATAACCCCTTCTTTGATTTGAACCCGAAATGATAGATATGGCAGGGGAGTTTTCGAGAATATTCAAAAAGTTTGAAGAACGGTCAAAAAATCAAAAATTTGACTTTTCCGAGGGCGATAACATTTTGTGTCAAAAAAACTTTGTGAGTGGCCGCTAATACAGGGGAGCCTCTCAATGCTCGTTAGCTCCCTTGAACCCAAAATATCAGATTTGAGAAGTTAGTTTTAGAGAAAAGTAAAAAAAGAATCACAAAACCATTAAAAATGAAATAGTGGACTATTCCGAGGGTCATTACTTTCTTGTAGGAACAATTGGGCGTAGCCGCTTATGCAGGGGAGCTCTAATCAGTTAAACCACAAACTCAGATATGAGAGCGGTAGTTATCGAGAAAACAATTTAAAAGAATCAAAAATATGGGTCTAATAATCCCCCACACTTTTTCTAAGGCGGTAAACAGAGGGGTCAAATAAATTTCAACAAATCGATTGGTAAACATACAAACCGCTTAAAAAGTGCGGAGTGAAGTGTTAAAATTGTGTTTCTATTGAAACGACCCAAAATTAGGTCATTAGGCCGATGAAAAGAAGGCCGAATTAATTTTTGTTAGCGAAACAAAACAAAGAAGGAATTACAAAGTCAAGGTAAGTAAGCGTAATAACTCTAACAAAACAATAGCTACACTGGTCAGAGCGCACGTCTCAAACTTGCATCAGTTTTGTGCAGCAACTTCACTTTCAAGCAATCGTAGTGAATACCGGATAAAATGATACTTCTGGACCTTGTTTTGCAGAAGGAATAAAAATTGATCCTCGGCTAATTTGCAAAAACAATATCGTCAATTTGGTGTCATTATAAACTACCACGATCAATTACGTTTTCTGGGGAGGGGGAGGGGTGTATTAATAGAGGGAGTTTAATTAAATTATTTTGCATAAATATTTAAAAGCAATGCTTAAAAAACGTAACCTTATCGCTCTCAAATGGCGTGAACTTATCCCAGTTCGCAGCAGAATGCCCTTGCTTCAAGGCCAGATTGATGAACAGACTTTTCTCAGTAATTTCAGCGCCTGTGGATAGTTGTTTTCCCCTTTCAGCCGAAACAGTTGCAGATGACATACTAGTACCAGATGGCATTTTCTGCAACAAACTCGAGGAGCTGTACACACTGCCGCTACATGGTAGATAAGACGGGGAACCCTTCAGGCCACTCAAAGCATCACTCATGTCCAAGTTTTTACACTTTTCCGGTGAATTAAAATTGGACCAGAAATCTAACGGATTGTTCACATTCTTCCCATTTTGTTCCGCCGACCAAGGAAAGTTGATTTGGGGAGAGAGTCCGTTTGGTTGTGTGGTCACTGCAGATATGTGGTCTTTCTCTTTCATTGTGTCGATTATGGACCCATGGTTGCCTCCGCCAATGGCCGCTAGCATTTGGCTGCTCAAAATCTTCTCCCGCTCGCTTACAATTTCTTCGGTGTCTTTGTAAATTGCGTCCAAATCCTCGCAATCTATGTTGTATGCCTCGAATAAGTCTTTAATGACCATTTCTGTTGCCGCAGTTGTTTTCTGTGTGTTCTTATTCTCTTTCTCACTTGTCGGTTGAGATTCAGGTCCATCCGCAGAAGCAGTAGATAAATTCTGCTCGTTTGACTGCTGTTTGTCTTGGCTGCTACAGTCGTCGTTCAATTCGGCCACTGGCATTTTAGCACGCGCTGTCCACACTGATTTGGCCGACTGATTCTGCTCGGTGGTTCGACTGATTTGATTAGCAACAGAAATGACTTGTTGGGTGACTATGACTCACTACACACTCCAGCTGCAGATAACTGTGAACAAACTCAGTCGCGCAGTTCGATCACACGTCACGACTATTAAAGAGCACACTACTCGCAAGAGCACTTTGGAAGTGAGTGATTTCTACTGCGAACAGAACAGAACAGCTGAGATGATTCGATTTGCGCGGCAACAACTCAACTTCACAACAACAACCACAACAGCACTAGGCACAATCATTAGCAGCACAATGCCCACTTCAGAAACTGTAACTTCAGCTGAGGAGGTAATGACAATCAATGAGGCGAGAACGAGAAGGTTAGAAATAATGCACTTCAAGTACCACCAACAAGGAACAGTCAAGCAGCACACTAGGCTATCGGCTGCTGATCTATGTAGAGAGTAATATGTCCTGTCCAGTCCAGTTGGTAGGCTGAGGTTGATGATAATGATATGTTTTACTTCTCAGCGGTGGCGGGTATGAAGAGGACAAGTAAGACAGACAAAGGCACTTATTGGGCAGATATTTTGTGCACAGATCACAGATATGTAATGTAATGTAATGTATGTTTATGTTGGGTGTTGGGTTGGTTAGTTTGTTCAGGTCGGCGTCTCGCTTTTCTCGATAGTCGATATTGTCAGCTGAGGTTACCAAATAGCAGCTATGAATAAACTACTCTCTCTCGCTCTCTCTATTTTGCCACCAACAGAACAGAACAGGAGGTACGTAACAATATGGTGCACAGTGGCAGTGGTGAGGTTGAGGTGGCCTATGTTAAAATAGAACAACCAAGTGAGCGTAATTTATTTGCAGTTATCGAACCTTCGACAAACAAACTTACATCTCTCAAACTTTACTGAACAGGCTAGCTAGCATGGCAGCAAATGGGCGAGCGAGTGAAAAGGTCCAACTTAAAAGCAAGCCCGTTTGGGGGCCGAAGGCCATAATAACACAAGCAAAGGCAAGGCAAGCATGAACCATACGACACCAATTAGAGTACAGAGAAGTGATCACACGCCTCCCTCCCAGTCCTCAAAACATGCAAACACTGGCTCAGCTAAGAGTGCTGCCAACTGGATGTCCAAACGGATCTGGCACTGCCCTCAATTTCCAATGCAGCTTCCTTTCTCTTAACATCAAGCCATTTAAATCATCTGAAGCTATTCAATTGTTCTTCGCTTAACTGAGAATACTGAAAAAAAATAACTACGAAAATACCACATTGTTTCCTTCCTTTCAATAGTTTCATAGAAAACTGAATTAAAAAATAGTCAGAACAGTTAAACTCTATCGAAAAAAAACTCTCAGCCAACGCATCCAAAAATATGAAACAAAAAACATTGCAAAAGATTATCTCGAAGACTATCGCAACTGAACCTTTACCATCTCAACAATAAGCTACAACAATAAATCAACATCGTGCACGATATGAACGAACAAATGAATGAACGCGAAAACGTACAAAAATTCAGGTTGCGGTCATAAATTTATGCATTTCGATTAAAAGCTTTCAAAACATGCTTTTTTGAACAATTCATCTAGTTTTGCAACTCTAGCGGTTTGATGTTAACTATAATTAGAAGCAAAAAGTTCGGACAGACAGAATTAATTGAAATGAGCAATCAGTGCTTTTCGAAGCTTTTTTGCAAGCAAAATCTGAAGCCGAACAACCTTGACTTTTTTGTCAGACCAAATTCAAAATTCGAGATCGTCGATTATCAGATGATTATGCTAGCCTAATTTTTAAATACTGCGATGAACATCCAGATTTAACTATAAAACATTGCGACGCTTCGGATGCAATTGCCCGCCGTGGTTATAGATTTTGAGCGAAATTCGGATTTTGCTGCTTCTGATTGGTCGAAATTTCAGTTGACTTTTTTCAGTTGTTCTTTTTAATTAATTCTGTCTGTCCGAACTTTTTGCAACTCTCTATAGCAAGCAAGTAACGCACCTCATGCGCTTCAAAAGTGAATGTATGAAAAAAAAGTTAATGCAACTGTAACAATGAACGGGGGGATCCAAAAACGCTTTTCATTTCAAAAAGTGAACACGATAAAAATAATTTCATTTCACATGTTTTTTAAAAAGGCTAAATCTCCAATATTTCGTATCAGATCTTCATATTTTGAACTATAAACCAAAACCCTAAAAAAGCTGACAGCGTACAGCTGCATTTAAAAAAGTTTTGAACCGATTTAAATAGCAAAATCATCAAGCTCAAAAATGGAATTCAGATTCCAGCCTAATCTATTATCTAATTAAATGCGGGCTTCACTATCTCGCCACGTTTAAGCTATTTCAACGTATTATTTTTGCATGTGAAAGAAAAAAATTTTTCACGTTTAAGCTATATCGTATGTTACAATGATTAAGATTTTTTTTCGGTTTTCCAATTTGAATTCAGTGTTCATTCAACCGAATTTAAAATAAGGAGCCCTTGAGTGGATGCTGTTAGGGTTCCCCTAGGAGTTGATAATTTGGCCTCCAATTATGAATGCCGAGATCTTTTTAGTGTACGAGAAACGACATTTTTTTGATTTTTTCAAAAGTTTCAAAAAAAATTCGTCATTTTTTTGATTTTTTCAAAAGTTTCAAAAAAAAAATTCAAATTACAAAACAATTCACAAAATTTGAAATTCCCAATCCCATAATTGAATGTTGTCAGAGTAATCTCAAGGATTGCAAATCTTGCCTCCAAATATGACTCCTCAAATCCTTTTAATTTTCGAGATATGACATGTTTTATGATTTATTCTTAACTTTTCAGAACAATTTAGATATTTAAAAAATATTTGATAATCCCAAGCTTGAAGTTGGGTACTGTGAGGGTAATCTCAGGAGTTCTAAGTTGCAAATCTTGCGTCCAATGCAACTGCTCAAATGCTCTTAGATTCCAAGACATATTTAGATATAAAAATTACAAAAAATTCCTGTCAGAGTCCTCACAGGAGTTGCGAATTTTGCCACCTCAAATTCTTGTAGTTTTCGAGATATAAAGTTTTTGGCGATGTTCTTTAAAAAATTTCAGAAAACTTAGATTCGATTTATTTCAAAATTTGATTTTCCTTACCCTGTACTTCATAAAATTTGAAATTACCAATCCTGTAATTGGGTGCTGTCAGAGTACACTCAAAGGATGCAAATCTTATTTCCAATAAATATATGGGGTTTATATGAATTTTGAATTTTAACAATTTTCCAAAAAGATGAAAACTAAGTCTTTTCAGATCTATGTTCTTGAACACTTTTGAAAAAGCATTAAAAACGGCATATCTCAATAACTAAGACGATTTTAGCAGTCAAACTTGGGGGCTGCAGTCCACACTTGGGCAGCAAAGATCTGCAACCTCTGAAAGTATCCTGAGAGCAACCCACTAAAGATTTAGGATTTTCAAATTCTGATTATTTTTATTCAAGTTTTTTTTGAAAAATTTTGAAAAAAAAATGAAAAAACCTCATACCTCGAAAACTAAAAAGATTTCAACAGTGACAGCCGGAGGCAACTTTTGAAACCCCTGAGACTACACTGGCAGCACCCAGCCAGAAGGTTGCAAAATTCCAATTATGTAAACTTTTACTAGGGGCTCAGCTGGAAGCTGAAATGACCTGCTTGATAATTAAAAAAAAAAACTATTAACTGCCGATAATCGGTTGAAATCAACTTGTTGGTCACCCTGTTGTGCATCTCTTTGCCAGAATTACCAATAAAATCTGCCCGGGGAACGGGACGAGGACCCGGATGCACTTCGTTCCCATAAAAACACACTTCAAAAAAAATCTTACCAATAATCAAAACTGTAGAATGCAGGTTGCAGGTGAGCTTTGTCCGTCTTTAATCCCCTTGCTGTTCTAGGACATTTTTTGCCTGCTAAAATTAAAGTATTTAGATGAGTTACTTCGGGATAGTTATGAAATGCACCGTTATTTATGATGTTTGTATATAGACACCAAACGTTCTCTGATGAGGTTAATACGTATCTGTTCTTCTTTCAGACCCTTCGGTAATTGCCATTGCCGCGCAGAATTCCACAATATCGGTTCACTGAGGAACAACTGCTCAAAAAGTCTAACACGTGTCAAGGCTGTATAAACTGCTTGAACCCCTGCTCCTTTCAAGGATCCAATGCATAAAGTTGTGTAACGTTACAGCATCTCCATTCACTAAAGGGAACTGCCGCATTGTTGCTGTAAGGCGTCCATGGAGATGATTTCAGAACAGCTATCTTTTTTGAAACAACTCTATGAGGCCAAACGTCGTCAGGAAGATCAAGAAGCTTAACAGTGGCGCGGGCTCGAATACTTTCTGGTGTGGTCAGTCTGATAAGGATAAATTTTGGCATTTGGTGTGGTTCACGAACAGTGGATGAAGTAGGGTCGTTCGGAACAAGAGGATATTCTTCGAACGTGGGGGGTATGGAGTCTTGCCAAACGTAGCCGCAAACAACTCCAGTAGTCCCGTTACCCACCTGGAGTGGCGGGGGGGGGGGGTTAAAACTGCAGCTTGGAATTACAAGTTTTGTACAGATGGTTGATTGCCTGATCTAATCTAGATTGATTTAAAGCCTTTTTTGCTCGCTGCAAATTTGCAGATCGTGCAGCTGGCTCCAAGACTCGCTGTTTCTCATGGAATTTTTTACAACCTGTTCTATCGAATAAACCCTATTCTATCGAATAGTTTTTGAGGAAATCGAAAAAGTCCGAAAAAACAAGCAAAAAATGAAAAAAGTGCCGAGTTGTGGGGCTTTTCTAAGACCGTAGGGAGCGGGATAAGGTACGATTCGACCTAGGGTTTATGCAGGCAGTTAGGTGAAAAAGTATTAAATCCATTGGTACCACATTTGTGAAAATCGGACGGGTAGTTTTTCGGGAAAGCGAATTTTCTATAAAAGCGTCTCAAAAAAAAGAAAAAAAACTCGATCTCATCCTGCAAAAAAAAATTGTTTTCATAATACCTGTTTAATAAATCAGCAAATCTTCGGGCAATGCTGGCATAACTTTCGAAGCAATTAGTTCAACAAGTGTTATATCGATTCGAGGAAATCGTTCAACAAGTGTTATATCGGACACAAATGAAGTATTTTTCAATAGCTTCGCTTTCCCTAGTGATTTCCGTTGTTTACTTCTATTCCAGTTTTGAGCCCTCTTCACTGGATCACTAAGTCGACTTTTTGCTGTAACCAAATTCATAAGTCATTTTGCCGAATTGGATAGACGATTCTTCGCTCTTTTTTAAGCTTTGCAATCGCAAAGTTGGAATACTGTAACGTTCTCTGGCTGTCTGACAGTTCCTTAATTTCTTTACTGGATCTTGAAGACGTTGTTTTACTCGCTTAAGATTATTCAATCTGTGCGCTGGATCCAGGACTCGCTGTTTTGCTCGCTTCAACTTTGCAGATCGTGCAGCTGGCTCCAAGACTTGCTGTTTTGCTCATTCCAAATTTGCGGACTCCATTGTTCCTAAAAAATACAGCAATTAGTCTATTAAATATTCGTTATACCAATTTCACAAAAACCTGAAAAAAAGCCAAAAAACCAAAAAAATGACTTTCCTATAACTAAGGCTAAAGCTCTTCCCCTAGACAAATTAGAGACCAGCTGCTTGTGGAGGGGAGTTCCCTGCAATCTGGTCTGTCGATTGAACCCTTAATCCCAAATCTAAACGGGTAGTCTTCGAGGAAATCGAAAAATTCCGAAAAACGGCAAAAAAACCAAAAAAATGACTTTTCCTAAGTCAATAGCTCTTCCCCTACACAAAATAGGGACTAGCCGCTCGTGCAGGCGAGTTCCAAGCAACCTGGTCTGTCGAGTGATTCTTATTCCCAAATCTAAACGGGTAGTTTTCGAGGAAATCGAAAAATTCCGAAAAACGGTCAAAAAACCGAAAAATTGACTTTTCCTAATTCAATAGCTTTTTCTGTAGGTAAATTAGGGACTAACCGCTTGTGTATGGGAGTTGCCTACAACCTGAGCAACCTATGAACCCTTAATCCCAAATCTGGTCGGGTAGTTTTTGTGGAAATCGAAAAAGTCTTAAAAAAAAATGTACCAAAAAGTCAAAGTGACTTTTATTAAGTCTATAGCCCTTCCCCTAGGCAAATTAGGGACCAACCGCTTGTGCAGGGGAATTTCTTACAACCTGTTCTGTCGAATAAACCTTTAATCCCATATCTGGACGGGTAGTTTTTGAGGAAATCGAAAAAGTCCGAAAAAACAAGCAAAAAGTGAAAAAAGTGCCGCGTTGTGGGGCTTTTCTAAGACCGTAGGGAGCGGGATAAGGTACAATTCAACCTAGGGTTTATGCAGGCAGGTAGCTGAAAAAGTAATAAATCCATTGGTACCACATTCGTGAAAATCCGACGGGTAGTTTTTCGGGAAAGCGAATTTTCTATAAAAGCGTCTCAAAAAAAACCCGATATCATCCAGCAAAAAAAAAACGTTTTTATAATACCTGTTTAATAAATCAAACAAGAATTTATCTGTTTTGAAA